AGCAGGGCTTTTCCCTTGTCATTCTCTTCACTGTGGTTATTTTACTTTAAAATATAAGAACTAATTTAACATTTTAAAAATTTACGTTTTTAATAGCAATATTCAAAATTTCCCATTAAAATTGTCTGTTTAACCTTCACACCTAAGTAAGGTAGCCATGACCCCCTTTTTATATGTATTCTGGCCTCCTTGTTACCTAACTTTACCTAGGTCCCTACTCTCATTCTGCTCTGCAAGCCCCACACATTTCCGGGTTTATTGAAGTAGCTGAGGAATCTTTGCAGAGTGAGGGAACCAGCCAGTGTTTATTCTCCCAATGGTGCTTCTTGCCCTTCGAATTCCTAGTGTCATGGATCTCCAGTGCCTAAGAATTATTATCTATCAAATAATAATTTCCCTACACTGAAAAGGATAAAATACGAAGTGCACAGTTGGGTTAATAATTACTTAGGGTCAGGAGGACTGTGTTTCTAAAAGAAGCATTTGTTTTGGAGCGCCATCTTGTGTTCACAAGGAAAAACAGCAGAATATATGATAAATGGTGATTCTGAGGTGAGGATGTGAATTCCACACGGGGTATATTTGCAGAAGTAAAAATACTGTCATCTAAAACTTTCCACAAAAATTACTATTAATTAATAGTTAGAGCTGTATTTTACTTTTAGTTATTTCAAATATGGAAAGACAAAAGTCTTATGCTGTTTAACTTTAGTCCAATTGGTACTTTAACACACGTGTGCATATTTAGGATGCAACAGTTATAACTTTTTATGCAGTTTATGTATAATATATAAGATTGCGTATATATAAAGTCTGCTGGACTTTTAATAGAAGTCTGAATTCTCAGTCTCCACTTCTTCACGGTGAAGTGCTCATTACTAATGGTAATTATCTTGTATAGTGCTTGTAGTTGGACTAGAAACTTCTAAGAATATAAAGAGGACTTGAAATTTAAGTTTGATAACCACTATCCTAAACTGTAATTTTATGTCATAATTTCTCAATTGAATTGGTAAATATTTGGGATAAAGTCTTAACCAGCCCATTAGCATTTTTTTTCTTATTCTTTTGTCCACTGCTTGGGATTTTCCTATCAGATTTTGCATACTGTGTGATAGTTGTGCTTGTCTGTGTTAGTCTCATAGGTACAAGTCCTTGAGAGGAGATCGTTTCCTGAGTCGATCTTTGTTTTTTTTCTTCTTAGTATCCTGTGCTTACCCAAGTTCTCGATAAGGGTGTAAAATGTTAATGTACACCATGCTCATTGGTTAAAAATGAAAAATAATGTCTTAACAAATCTGGCAAAACTTTACAGTCATGTATTCTACGAAGAAATCACTGTGTGAGACAGTGTACTTATTCTGATGAAAGCTGTTATCTAACGTATGTTGGCATCTTATGCTTTATCACTGATGCAGTATTAGTTCTCACCTGGGAAGATATAAGAATATATATTCTCCATGACAAATCCTTATCTTTAAGGGTAAGTTTGCCTTTTTGAAACAGTTTAAAGAAATTTGAAAAAACATTTGGAGCTAAAATGGTAGCTAGTAGTGACCTAAATTGTCCATGTCAACAGTTCTAATGGTATTCTGAAAAGTTACATAAAGACATTTTGCAATGTGTTATCACTGTTGAAATACTTTCTGTCTTCAATAACCTCTGAAAGTGTGCTTTGCTATGTTCTCTATTACTTCCTCCATCCCTTTTGGAGGCCCATCAAGGAATAAAAATGTAGCAACTTTAGTTTATCCCTTCTGGTGCCCAGGGTCTAATGGAGAAAATGTTTCGGTTCAGGTTTAATCTACTAATAGTTGGCCACTTGCCGGTAAAGATTGAAGAAAGGAAATTGCTGAGTTATTTCTAAAAATGGTTTATGAGTGCTGGCAAGAAAACAGCCCACGAAAGTTTATTGTGTTATATCAGCTAAAAAACTCACACATTATTTACTGCATATTTTTTCTTGGGGTACCTACATGGACTGTCTCAGTAGACACCAGCTCTGCCAGTACGATGACTACTATTATTAACTTCATCCTTTGATGGGTCAAAGTTTTAATCACTTAGGTCAGTAACTCTAACACCCTAACCCTAACCTTAACCCTAACCCCAACCCTAACCCTAACCCCAGCCAGTTAATCCACACTCTAATCTCCTGTCTCACACTGAAAGCTCAAGTCCGGGCTATTTAGTAAGACTTTGTCTGAAAATTAAAAAAAAAAAAAAATTAAAAGGCCAGAGATGTTAATTCAGTGGTACAGCAGCCTTGGATGTGAGCCCCAGTACTGAAAGAAAGACAAAAATAAAAACAAAAACAAAAACAAAAACAAACAAAAACTTAAATAAAGCAACCTCCCAAACAACCTGAACCAAACCATAAAGCCTGAAGTCAAATTTATCTTAGCCATAAACTCTGTTATTTGTCCAGTATGATAGCTACCAACCACAAGTGGTCATTGAAAACTTAGAAATTGAGGATTGTAATTAAAACAATGTACAAGTATAAAATACACATCAGATTTTGAAGTTTTACTGTTTACAAAAAGAAGATAAACTATCTTATTTTTAAAAATATTTACTATATGCTGAACTGATATTATTTTGGTATACTGAGTTAAAATATACTTAAATTAATATCACCTATTTTTATTTTTTCAATGTGAGTGCTAAAAAATTAAAAATTATGTGTGAATCACATTTTGTTTTGTTTTCTAACACTGCGTTTTAGCATAAAATGGCCTATAAGTAGGCTTTTTAGACAGTTCTCCAATATGGTTTGGAAGAACATGAAGAAAATTTTTACCTTGCTTTTTTAGGTTTTGCATAATTTTCTCAGCACAGGTTTCAGGTTTTTATCTGAAAAAAAGATAAAAAAAAAAAAAAAAAATCTCTGCCTCTCAATTCCACCACTACCAGGAGGTTGGGGTAAAATCCTGGGTGGCTTATGGCTTGGGGGGTGTCTGGATTTGAGATTTGCATATAAATAGATGTGATGGGATTGATTTAACATGAATGCTTGCATTTGAAAACTAAATCACAGGAATCAAATTTACACATCAGTGAATTCCACACCAGGATGGCGATTTATAGTGAAGAGAAGACCACTGATCTTATAATCAAGACCCCACACAGGTGTTGTTCTGGAAGGTAGGAACACTTACATGAGTTTCAGATGAGGAGGGGCTCACTTCACATAGGGTCAGGGCAAAGTCACAAGTTCTTTTCTTTTTTTCTTTAAAATACTAGCTTGATGAAGGTACTTTAGTTATTTATACACTTTCAATATTTTCTCTCAATTTCCATACTAGAATTCACTCAGAAGGCGGCCAGAGTAATGTGGTTTTCTGCTGCTAATCCATCCATCCCTAATCTCATTAGGCTGTTAATTCCCAGAGGGCATAAGCAGTAGTAGGCACTGTTCCCAAATGTTAAATGTTGTTCAGTCAAAGCATGGGGTCATTCTGAGTCTAAAAGAGTCTGCTGTGTTTTTTAAACATTATTGAACTCAATTTGTATGACCCTTTTTGACTGTACCACAGACTAAAGCTGACACTTTTAATACCTATTTTCATGCAGATACATATCTGAGCATGAATTTTTGCTAAATTGCAATACTCCCCTAAACCTAGGTACATAATTATATTAAATATATAAGCAGAAAGTTTATCTTGCCTTTTGCCTCAAGGAAAAAAATGTAGTTTCTTAGAGCCGAAAGATAAAATGTGAAGTAGCAAAGCTTAAGGTAGCAAACCAAACTCTATTATCTAGAATAGACTAGAAGTAGCTAGGTTTAGAGATAAGAAGAGGTGATACTTAGTGCGCCAACCACAGATGGCATAGTGTATAGAGTGTATACATTTCTTGTCTTTCTATTTAAAAGTTTGATTTCCCTATTGCAAACCTATGGTTCATCAAAGTAAAAGATTTATTTTATTAAAGTCAGTCGTCTTATTTCCATCTTTGTGTTCTCAGTTATAGAGCGTTCTTCTCTAACTTGACATAAGTAAACTTTGCCACTGGAGTAACCTGTAATTTTCATGAGCTTAAATTCATCTCTGTATTGCAGATATTTTATATACTGTACATGAAATATACATTTTATATGAATAACTAAGGTGTTTTCTTTGAAAGCAGATCATCTCAATGTCTCTAGCCGCCAAGTCTATTGAGGGCAGCTTAAGTCTACTTGGCAGGCTTAAGGGGCCTCTTTTCTCTTTTATTATCTCTATTCTCGAGGGCGGACCCCCTGCATGCACAACTCCAAGGGGGTCCTGAGAAGTTTATAAACTCTGCCCAATTTCTTGCCTTTGGAGAGGTGAAAAGGGTGCCCCACCCCCTCCTATGAAAAGAGGGATTTGATAGTTTCAATGCTTTTAAATCAAAGTTTGAAGTCCCTAATCCCTCACCACTCAGGACCCCCACCCCAGGCTTGCGATCCCCTTTCTTCACCCCCTCAGTGCTCTGGACTGGCCCTGGAACTCCCTGTCCCACTCCACAGTTACTGTGGCTCTGTACGAAGAAGTCACCCAGGACCTGTGTTACTTCCTTTGCGAAGAAACAGAATTATCGTGAAAATTCGGGTCGAAATCATTTCGTTTTTGTTCCTCAAATAAGGGAAGGGTGTGCCTAACCACCCCTGGGAAAAAGAACTTTGAGAGGCAAAAGAGCGACCAGGTAATTTAGAAGAAAAACAGAAAGTGGTCTCTCACCGCCCTGGACTTCCTTTGGAGTTGGGGGATTTGCGGGCGCCTAACCGAGTTGCCTGTGAGGTTGTGGGAAAAAGAAATGGATAGCACGAAGCTTGAGGCTTCTGGGACCCTTTCCTGATCACACCCGGGTGATTTGGTGCAGGGCATTTTAATATTTTCTCTCTTTTGTGAGGTGGAACAAACACAACTTGGGCTCAGCTCGGCGGCTTGGTGGCTGCCAGCCGGGCGGGCGGCGGACGCACCAATCAGCGCGCGCCTGCGCTCTATATATACAGCTTCGGCGGCGCCTCCCCAGTACCGCGTCCTCGAACCTCAGAATGTCCGAGACTGCTCCCGCTGCCGCGCCCGCCGCCGCGCCCCCGGCGGAGAAGACCCCTGTCAAGAAGAAGGCTGTTAAGAAGCCTGCGGGGGCGCGCCGCAAGGCCACCGGGCCCCCTGTGTCCGAGCTGATCACCAAGGCCGTGGCCGCCTCTAAGGAGCGCAGTGGGGTGTCGCTGGCCGCGCTCAAGAAGGCATTGGCGGCTGCTGGCTACGATGTGGAGAAGAACAACAGCCGCATCAAGTTGGGGCTGAAGAGCCTGGTGAGCAAAGGCACCCTGGTGCAGACCAAGGGCACCGGTGCCTCCGGTTCTTTCAAGCTCAACAAGAAGGTTGCTTCCGGGGAGGCCAAGCCCAAAGCCAAGAAGGCGGGCGCTGCCAAACCCAAGAAGCCCGCAGGGGCCACCAAGAAGCCCAAGAAAGCTGCGGGCGCGGCCGCCCCCAAGAAGAGCGCCAAGAAGACCCCCAAGAAAGCTAAGAAGCCCGCCGCTGCCGCTGGCGCCAAGAAGGTAGCCAAGAGTCCAAAAAAGGCTAAGGTCGCCAAGCCCAAGAAGGTCAAGAGCACGTCCAAGGCTGTGAAGCCCAAGGCCGCCAAGCCTAAGGTTGCCAAGCCCAAAAAGGCGGCGCCTAAGAAGAAGTAGACTTAAACTGCTTCTCCAACCCCAAAGGCTCTTTTCAGAGCCACCACTGATCTCCCGAGGAAGAGCTGACACTTGTTTACTCCTAGCGCTGCCGGGGCGTGTCCGTGCGCTGTGGGCCAATCCTATGATTGGTCTTCCCACCCCTCGTCGGCGCCCTGCCTAGCTGCCAGGCTAGAGACCTTGTCCGCGGTGGTGGACTTGGATGGCCACCCTCAGCTGTTAGCTGCGAGAACCAGTCTCCGTGTCGGATATTCGTATAGATTGGACTAAGGGCGATTCGAAAGTCCCGCCCTGAGCCTGGGTTGGTCGCCCATCGGGCCGCAGTTTCTCCGGTGTCACTTGGCGTAGACCAGAGTAATCTTCCAGGTTTTTTTGCAGCAGTCCTGCTGTAAAAGACAGAACTGTGACTTCGCGGGCACTGAGAGGAGGGTGCGGTGCGCTCGGCAGCTGCGTCCTACGAACACATGAAGGGGTGAATTGAGACGCTGTGGTGATGGCAGAGGTTCTGTCTTCCCCGCGGGCGAGGGTGAAGGGTGGACCAGTAGTTGCCCCTTAACTCCGAGCCTTGTCCCCAGATGTGACGAGTTTTGGTTGCTGCAAACGTACGTCTCGCTTAGTCTTAAACAGGTTTTCTAAGTGTTTATTTGTGCATCTAAATATTTCTACGCAAAGCAGAACAAAGTACTAACTGGAATTGCGCGGACGCGATGCTTGTTTCCAATAAAAGGCTTTAGTTTTCATTAGCAGTGCTTTTTGCATTCTTTTCTAACCGCGGAATTTGTCCTAGACCCAGAAGTTCTGGCTCATGGTGTCTTTTGCGTCAGCCAGATTTTGATGAAACGTAAATTACAAGCACTACAGTTTTTGGAGACCAAAGTAAGGCTGTTTCCCCAAGTATAATCTGGTGTGAGTGTGTTCTCTCTTAAGAATTTAGCATTAGGAAGATGAAGGAGGAAAGGAGATTTTATGGTTTCTTAAACAGTAATTTTGAGTTGATTTCCCCCACCACGCGCACACACACATCCCGCAGTACTGGAGACTGAACCCAAGGGCCTTTGCACTAAACTGCATCTCCAGTCCTTTAAATTATTTAGACAGGATCTATTTAGTCGCCGCAGGGTCAGAGCTATAGATAGTCTTGGAATCTTGCCTCAGCATCCTGGAGTGCTGGGATTACAGGTTTGTGCTACCATGGCTTTTTGTGTTGACATTTTTACATCAAGTGCTTGTGCTCTTGCATTAGTGTAAATCTGAATCCATACATGGCCCTATTCATATCCTCTAGAACCATTTATAAATGCTCATTGTGCATCTCCTTCCCAATTTGGATTTCAACTTTATCTTACTCTAAATTCCCTGTGAACTAAATATTGGATTTCTGTTACATTCCTTTGATCTTTTTGGCTGTTTGTAAGGTATGATCCAGCTGTTTTAAATATTGCTCAGAACCCTACTAGCAATGCTCAGCATACCTGACATATAACAGGTACTCCTAGTAACTGATGTTCTAATATGACCATAGCTGATAGGAGTGAGATTCCTCTCATTACTGTCCTTTTTCAGATCCTGGTTTACTTAGATTTTCTATATATACTTGAAAATGTCCTCCAACCTCCATCACTAAGAAAAATCCATTGATCATTTTATTGGGATTGTGTTAAATTTGTATATTTTGTAAAGATGAAGTTTTCTTATTGAAGTTTAATTCTTTCATTATTTATTTTTGTACTGAGAATTGAATCCAGGACCATTGCACTGAGCTATATTCCCTAGCCTCCCTCCCTCTTCCCTTTTTTTTTTCTTTGAGACAGAGTCTCCCTGATTTGCCCAGACTGAGCTCGAATTTGTGGTTTTTCTCTCTTAGCCTCCCAAATTGCTGAGATCACAGATAATTGCCACCACACCTGAGATTTTAGTATTCCTTGCTGCTTATTGAATTTTAGAAACAGGTGATCTGATGTCTAAGGCTGAGGATGCCTTTTTTTACACACAAATGAGAAACCAAGATACTGTTGGGCAGAAAGGATAGAAGAGAGCAGGCCTACATAGCCAGGAATAGGTGAGAGACATATGGAGCCATACTGCCTGGCTTCTTGTCATCTCAGTTCCTGGGTCATTGGACCATTTGAACTCTTGCCACTGAGTCACCTCCCTTGGCTCAAGTTGAATCAAACTGCAACAACAGGAAACCTAGTGAAGATCCTCTAGATACAATCACATTCTAACCATGGAAAGAGGCCCTGGGCTTAAGAAATGATATGTTTGGGGCAAGTGAGTAGGAAGTATATGGACAGAGCCAATGGAAAGTGAGACTTATTTTAGTAAGGATTGTTTATAAAGACTCCTCTCAGTACTACCTCCCTCTCTGAACTGCTAAGAGCTGCTCTGCTTTTCCTGTAAAGGACATCTCATTAGGGAAACTTATGTGGTCTTTATAAAGTGTAATTTATGCTTTACTTTTAGGTAAGTAAGGGGAAAACAGAGAAGTCCTCCCATGTCTGTTGATGTTAAATTGCCTTCAGCTCCAAATAATCGTTATGCTATTATGGCATGTTCAGTGGTGACATTTTGATTCCCTTCAAAACTTATATAGTATTATTAGTATTATTTCAACTTTTTGTTCAGGTTTATAAAATAAATATTGAAAAATACCAATAATATATTCACATAATTCCCCAAGCACTGCTGTTTAGCCAAAAATGTCAATGAAGTTTTTGTAAACTAGATTGCTGAATTATCCATGAAAGTGCAAGATATTGGCCAGGTAAATGCAAGTGTAACATAGAAATTAGAGCTACTTGCAATACAGTTATTCACATTTTCATACAAGTGATCTAATAACTGAAAAATAAACATCCTGTTACTACCCTAGATAAAATTCCAGATATGGGCTATGTATGTAAAGCTGAGGGGAAGGTAGACGGTATTTGTGCTTGAAATCTATGCTGGAGGTGAACATGCTCCCTACAGACAGGACTGCATCATTTCAGAAGGGAACAGTGATTAAGTGGCAACAATAGGCCTGAAAACTAGCAACTTCTTTCTTTCTTTTTTCTTTTGTTTTGAGACAGGGGCTCACTGTGCAGCTCATGCTGAACTTGGACTAAGTAGCTCAGGCTGGCCTTGAATTTGCAGTGAGTGATGTTCCTGCTTTAGCCTTCTGAGTACTGGGATTACAGTTGTGAGCCACCAAGCCCAGAGAAGAACTAGCCATTTCTTACTACTTATGTACATCATGTCAAGTACTGTTGATGATTACATTTGTTTTCAACACATTCTTATTGCTGCATTTTGAGGTAGGTGCCGTTATACTTCCAGTTTTAGAACTGAAGAACTGAGGCTTTGTTACAGGAGACCAACTAGAAGCCAGTGGGTCCAGAAAATGTTGAGTGTGGTTCTGTTTCTGCTTCTGTGGTACCAGGGCCAGTGCATAGTAGTGGCCTCTGTCACTCTCAGCATGAGAAGCTGGAGGAAAGGCTTAGCTTTCAAATTCCATGTCAATATTAGTTTCTGTTGGACAATATCAATTATGTAACAGTTAGCTTCTGGTCTATGAATATCACAGATACTCATGTGCCTCAAAAAAATATAAGAGTCATGTATTTAACATCTTCTAGTGCCACATTAAAGTAAAAAGAAAGAGTTGAAGTTATTTTAATATGTTAATCAATGTTATTTCAATAAGTTATCTAAAAATACTGAGTTAATGTTTTTTGCATGCTAAATCTTTAAACTCTGTTAGGTATTTTACATTTAAAGCACTTCTCAGCTGGGTGTGATGGTGCACGCCTATAATCCCAGCACTCCGGAGGCTGAGGCAGGAGGATCCCATGAGTAAAAATCAATAGAAAAGTACATTTCAATTTGGGTTAACCACATTTCAAGTGCTTAATAGCCACATATGGTGAGTGGCTGCTATCTTGAACAGCATAACTCTTGAACTAATGGTGAAAACACAAATACAAACCCCTCCCTCCCCCCACACACTATATATATACACACACACACACACACACACAACTTTCAGGAAAAGAAAAATAGTATGATTTTTTTGGACAGATGGTATAACCCTCTTATGGGGAACCCTAAAGAATGTTGTATATCGTAGAAAACCCTCTACACTGCTGGCCCTTGGAGAAGAAATTGTAAAAATCGTGTGAAGCAGTCTTAGTGACCAAGGCTACCCAAGCAGCAGTTTGCCATACTAATTATTGTCACAGGCTAATGGTTACCACTTTAAGCACCTCTTGTAATTGTAGAGTCCAAAGGTAACTTGTATTAACATCACGATGTCTCAATAGAATTAGTATTAAAATATTTACGCAGATTTTTCTTTTCCTGATGCAGTACATATTTTTGGGCACATTCTATACTTGCTCTGGGGCAGACACTAAATGTTTTCAAGGAAACAATAATTCTCTCCTGGTCCTAAAGAATATTCCTAAGGCCTGATGTCCCCTGAAGTGATATTGGTACCACATATACTGATCTCGGGATCTCACAAGGTCCAGGAGCAAAGTCATGAGCCAAAAGGAGGAAATTAGGAGACTTTATTGGAAATAATAATAATAATAGCTCTGATTCCCAGGAGGGGTCTCAAGTTCGTAGCTACCTAGCTCCTTGATAGAACACTAATTATAGATAAGCACAGCAGGGGAACTGCTCAGTTGTTTAGTGGACACCCATCACAGGGGGCTCTCTGGATTTAAAATGATCAATTGGAACTGAGACTCTCTAACCCAGTGCTTCAACATATAGGATTTAAAGGAGACTAGGACCTTAGGGAAAAATCCTGGTTATTTTGCATTTTAAATTTCTCAGAACTGAGGAACCCAGTAGAGTAGCTGCAAATCCCTTTAGCAGAAAGGGGTTTGCATTCCATGTTGCCTGAGGAAATTCTCTGAAAAATTTTAAAAATTTTACTAGTAGTACATGTTTAGGCAGGGGGCAGTGGCACACGCCTGTAATCCCAGCATTTGGGAGGTTAAGGCAGGATGATCGCTGGAAATTCAAGGCCTGCCTGAGCTGCAAAGTGAGTTCAAGTCCAGCCTGAACTGCATAGTGAAACCCTACCTCAAAAAAACAAAAAAAAGAGTACATATTTGCAATACATAATGTTTACATTTCTTGTGGGAGTCGGTACATGTATATGACACATCTTAATTCCTTCTTTCATCCCCTTTCCCTCCCTTCCCTCCCTCATCCATCCCCTTACTTTCATTTATTCATCTTTTTGTACATGTTTGCAGTATATAGTATTTATTTATAGTCATTGGATTTTAAAGTTCTCAAATCTCAGGAGCTTAGTGAGGAGTGGCTACATGCTTCAGTAGGGAATGAGCTGCATTCCATGTAGCCTGAGGAAGTCCAAAGTCCTAGTTCCCTGTCTATTTTTATTTTAATTCTTATCAATATGGTTGGACACCCAACTATCTCATACCCTTCCCCTAGCTAGCTCCCTTACTCATAAGTTAACTAAATAAATTATTTTCTACAATGCTACTCACTTCACCTCACACCAGGTCTCCAACCAGCTGACTGGTGACTATGTAACCCAGGCCAAGATAAGCACAGCCACTCCCCATTTACCCTGAGGCAGCCCTGTTTCTGAAATAGAATTACCTTTGCGGAAGGGATTATATTTGATAATCCACTTGTGAGTAAATTTATTAATCAGAAAATATGAAGGGTGTGGGCTTGGTGAGACTGCCTGGCTAATAGTGAGAATTTGGCTAATTTACTGAAATCTCATAGGCTGAAGTTTCTCTGTAAATGGAGAGGCAAAGAACTTGCCTTGAAATGTAGAGAGGCCAGTCACTTCACATAGCACTTTGCCCATGGAAGGAATCTGTTGTGATTTCCTTCCATCTCTAAAGGATGATGATATTCAGTACTGAATGGGTAGATAAAAGTTAGCACTGAATATGTTATGTTCAAATTGATTAAAGTTGACTTTGTATCCACCACATTAAGTTTTGTTTTGTTTTGTTTTCCTCCTGGTATCCATCTCAGAATGGCACCATCATCCAAAGCACCCTAACTTAGAGACCTGGGAGTCATCTCCAGTGAAATGAATCTCAACTCAGCGCACTTCTTTGGAGGTGTATATAACAGAATGTCGGAGAAAGGCCAAGTATAATTTGAACATGCTGAGTCGGAGGCATATTTACCCTGAAGCTGAAACAAAGTGAAATGTCAAATCTGGCCGGTCTAAAGCCTTGGGTGGGGCCCTAGGCGTAAATTTAGTTTGTCTCAGATTTTTGTTGTTTTGGTTTTGGTTTGCATTTGGGATAGTTTAGTCACAGCAGGTAAGACCTTTATTTCATTTCCACTCAATCTTTCCTTTCAATTACAATTCAGCTTGATCTGATTGTGTTGGAATACTGATAATATTTGGAATTAGAGTAAGAGAAAACTTATTTGAAGATATGTTTACTATAGGGTTAATGAGATCTATAATATGACTTTAGATGTGCTCATGTATATGTTAATTGTTATTGCTGGTGTTAACTTATTTTATTTTTATTTTTGTCTTTTGGTCTTTTGAGACAGGGTCTTGCTACATAGTTCAGGCTGGCCTTCAACTAAAGGTGATGCTCCTGCCCCAGCCTTCCAAGTGCTGTGATTATAGGCATGCACCACCACACCCCGTTTGCTGGCCAATTTGATGTAATAAGGTCTTCAAAAAAATTTGTAATGCTCCCTAGAATCACTTACCTGGATTCCTGGCGAGCTATATGGCAGGAGATCACCATAAGCATTCGTGTTTTCATAGAAACAGTGCCAGGAGGGAGCACATAATGGGAAAGAATGAAGATTTCAAACAAAATCAGTAGGTAGGCTGGGGAGAATTCTTCCAAATTTTAACACTCATAGAGGAAAACTCTCACTTCCCTAATTAAAAAACAGTTCTAAACAAAAAGGTAAAACGACATTAACAATTTTTTTCAAACTGAAACTCTTTAAAGTTGTCAAAAACCAAATTAGGATTAACCACCTAAAGGCTGAATTCTCTTCCCAGTTAATAGAAATTACAAAATACATTTTCCCCTAAAGAATATTCAGTCCAAAGTATAGAAACAGCATTTTAATGCTACAGTGGAGTAAATTAAAAATGCTGTTTCTAAATTAGCGCTGATTATGGCTTTCATTTTGTAAAATTAGAAGTTTTCTAATTATATTTTCCCATTATGCTCAGTGTATTTGTAATGTACTTTAGCTATGGCTGGTGTAACAAACCTGTAATGCCAGCACTACGGAGGCTGATGCAAAACGATCACTGCGAGTTCAGGCTAAGTGGACTACAGTGAGACTGTGCTCCCCTCTGCTCCCCCAAAATACTGTAGCTTTCCATTTACTGCAACTACGCCCAAGAAAAGCTTTACTCCAGTGTCATCCTACTTCTAGTTTCACTTTCATCACAAAACCGCATACTATGCAATTATTTGGAAAGCAAATTGAAAAATAAAAAACTAAATATCTGAAGTGTCATAACAGTGCAATGTTCTACAGCTGCTTTTAAAATATTGTGGGTGGCTCTTAAAAGAGCCTTTTCGATTGCTGCTTGGTTTTCATGCCCTCTCCCCGCGGATGCGGCGCGCCAGCTGGATGTCCTTGGGCATGATAGTGACGCGCTTGGCGTGGATGGCACACAGGTTGGTGTCTTCAAAGAGACCCACCAGGTAGGCCTCGGATGCCTCCTGCAGCGCCATCACAGCCGAGCTCTGGAAACGCAGGTCGGTCTTGAAGTCCTGCGCGATCTCGCGCACCAGGCGCTGAAAAGGCAGCTTGCGGATCAGGAGCTCGGTGGACTTCTGGTAGCGCCGGATCTCGCGCAGGGCCACGGTGCCGGGCCGGTAGCGGTGAGGCTTCTTCACACCGCCGGTGGCCGGCGCGCTCTTGCGAGCAGCCTTGGTGGCCAGCTGCTTGCGCGGGGCCTTGCCGCCGGTGGATTTACGAGCGGTTTGCTTCGTACGAGCCATAAGGACAAAGAGGAGACAGACCAACAATGTAGCGAACACAGCTACAGTTGTCCTTAAATATACTTAGAAGCATTCTGATTGGCCTTACAATTTTTCAAAAGACCCGCGCGACAAAGTCATTGGCTGAAAGGTAAACTGTATGATTGGTTGATCGGAAGAGACTGATTGCACAAATGGCTCTAACGTCATCCTTGGCGTCTGAGAGAACAATTTCCTAACGTTCTACTTTATCGTCAACAAGTGCGATGTGCAGTAAGGACGCTTTTACGGTCATCTTAGTATATGATTTCTGATTAATTCTCAATGGGATTGAGATTGTAAAATAACCATCATCGGTTAGCCAGTACCGCTGGACAACCAAGCGTTCAAGTTATTTTCGCTAAAAAATGTTTTAAATTCACTTGTTGCTTCCCCAACAATTTCCATCCTCTGCTGAGTGGATTGTGACATTCCGTTTGTTTTTCCAATCATTTACTTTTAGTATGGAATATGACCTGGTAAATCTTGCAATGATGAATGGAATTTTAAGTTAACATGCTCAACTTCTTAAGGTACTTGCTAAAACACAGATTTCATAACACTAGCATAAGAGCTAACAGCTTCTCTCATGAAGACGTAGTGGCTCTGAAAAGAGCCTTTAGGTACAAATGGGGCTTTTTCAGTCCTTTGCTGTGTGCCGGACTTCACTTGCCCTTGGCCTTGTGGTGGCTCTCGGTCTTCTTGGGCAGCAGCACGGCCTGGATGTTGGGCAGCACGCCACCCTGCGCGATCGTCACTTTGCCCAGCAGCTTGTTGAGCTCCTCGTCGTTGCGGATGGCCAGCTGCAGGTGGCGCGGGATGATGCGCGTCTTCTTGTTGTCGCGCGCCGCGTTGCCCGCCAGCTCCAAGATCTCGGCCGTCAGGTACTCGAGCACGGCCGCCAGGTACACCGGGGCTCCGGCGCCCACGCGCTCGGCGTAGTTACCTTTGCGGAGCAGGCGGTGCACGCGCCCCACGGGGAACTGTAGCCCGGCGCGGGATGACCGCGTCTTGGCCTTGGCGCGAGCTTTGCCTCCCTGTTTGCCCCGTCCAGACATCGTTAAGTGTAAAAGAAAATGAAACTAAGAGGAGTTCAAGAAATGTATTTATAGCTACGGCCGGGCTGTGTTACTAAGCCATCTCATTGGTGAAAAAGGTTGTTGTTTTGTCCAATAGAAAAAGAGAACGTGAGTCCTTTATTTGCATGAGGCCCTCCCCTATGGAAAAAAAGTCCTCTTTTTTTGTCCAATCAGCTTTGAAGATTCTCAAACCCTTATTTGAATTACGGGACTATAAATAAAAGGTCTCAGGTTTCTCCCTCTTGCTAGCTTTTGTTTGTATTGTAGGTTATCTTTCCTGCAGCTATTAGGTAAACAATGCCTGAGCCCTCTAAGTCGGCTCCCGCCCCGAAGAAGGGCTCTAAGAAGGCCATCACTAAGGCTCAGAAAAAGGATGGCAAGAAGCGCAAGCGCAGCCGCAAAGAGAGCTATTCCATCTATGTGTATAAGGTGCTCAAGCAGGTGCACCCCGACACGGGCATCTCGTCCAAGGCCATGGGCATCATGAACTCGTTCGTGAACGACATCTTCGAGCGCATCGCGGGCGAGGCCTCGCGCCTGGCGCACTACAACAAGCGCTCGACCATCACGTCTCGGGAGATCCAGACGGCCGTGCGGCTGCTGCTGCCCGGGGAGCTGGCCAAGCACGCCGTGTCCGAGGGCACCAAGGCCGTCACCAAGTACACCAGCTCCAAGTAAGTGCCACTATAGGCACTTCTTAAACCAAAGGCTCTTTTCAGAGCCACCCAATTTGTTCGGAGAGAGCTATAACTGTCGTTTCTTATATCTAGTGCGGTTTCCTTAGGTTAGACCGAAAGACAATCAAGATTTAACAATAGCACCCCAAACACCAATCTCACCTTTTGTTTTTAGGCCCTTGTTTTTTTTTTTTTTTTCCCTAATTTCTTTTTTTGTCTTCTCCCCCCTCCCGCCCCCCCGCTTTAAAAGCTTCTGGGCAGTTTTTCAATTACTTGGACACGCCCACGACGCCCCTTCCTAATAGCAAGTTTCTGGTGGGGCTTTGAATTTCCCTAGTGGGTCAAATATCAGTAAGGGATTTTGGAGGGTGGGGTTCTTCCCGGGTCCGTTTGGGGCTTGAAGTAGGGAATGGTGGAGGATGTTTTAGTGGTAGAGCTTTCGCTCACTGTAAATTCTGTACTAGAACGTAGGATTCCTCAATAAGTAAAACTGTTTCTGGGCACCTCAGTGGAATATGCCTTCAGGTCTTTGAACAATGGAATTCAAGATTTCGTGTTGTAATTGTTTACTGCTGCTAGCAGCTACTCCAAAACCATTAATTTTTTTCTCATATCTCAGAAATCCTGGACCACTTTGCTGCTAAAGTCTACAATGAAGCGAGTGTTGGCTGGAGATCAGAAAGGGACAAAAGGTTTGAATTTCGCAGCTTTCTCCATTTGGCGTAGCTGAGAGCCCACAGGGAGGGCGCTTAACGGGGCTGGAGACAGCTGGTTTCCTCTGCAAGCAAACTTTCTTCCCAAAAGTCTGCGGCTCCAAAAATAATGGCTAGAAAGCTAGGAAAAGCATTGGGTGAGAGAGTCAGGGTGTTCTCTGGGTCTAGTGCAGGGAAGGAAGAAATAGGCAGGTGTGTGTGACGCAGTGATGAACAGGGCTTCCTACTGAAAAGAAAAGAAATAGTTCCAGTAAGGCTGTGAACACCTTATGCAGCCACATTCAGCAACGTGTTTAGATAAAGACATGTCAAAAATAAACTTTTAAAAAGGTAGATTAAAAAATCGACTGGCTGGCACACAATATGTTAGTAAGCCACTGTGTGAGAATCAGTTTCATTACACACCGTGCTACTGTGAAATGTGTAGGTTAAATAAAAATCAATGTCTTTTAAATTGTAAAACGCCCCTTTCCCCAAGCATTAAGGTGCTCAATTTGACACGATGTGGGTGAAAATCCTGATAGTACTATTATTTCTTAACATTTTTGATATGATCTTATGAAGTAGGGATTATTTTTCTCTCCAGGTTGTCTTCCATGGCTGTTTAGCTTGCCGGCTCCTTTGTTAGTCTCTTTTTTCCTTTTCCTTTGAAGTAAGGTATTATTGTAGATAACTAAGTTAGAAATATTATAGACAGTCAGACAGGGCTCTGTCCTCTAGAGAGTCAGTGCAGGAAATGAAAACTCATTACCACCGTGGCCTGAGGTACATCTGTTAGAGACCAGGCCTCAAGATAAAGACGAAATGACCGAGCCTACATGCTTCCTCAAATGCTGAGATGAGTGGTAATACCTGGTCTAATAAAGTCTAGACAGAATCTCTAATAAAGTCTGGATAGTCACTTCAGTGGGTGACCAAGACTCTCGGAAACATCCCTTCCTAAAAAGTTCTTTGTTCTTTCCATGCACACTTGGTGCATGACTTGCTTCCCCACTGGATCAATATTACCTAAGCATTGCTATACTTATAATCTTATTGGTCGAGAACAGCTTCAACCCATGTAGTATCCATGTGGTTGTGCTCTATGAATCTCACCCTGAGTAGTGGGTTCCTTGGCAGCCTATTTAGGACCCCTCCTCCCTCTCAGGAGAAATATCTCTCCCTCTCAGTAAATATTTCCTACTCTTTTTTTGTTCTTTAAAATTCATTCTTTGATTTTGGGGAACAGGAACTTGGCATATCAGACATCTAGCAGGTAGGGAGTTATATTTCCCTTGTATCATTAAGAGGTCCTATATCATTGCTGTATCAATATCAAGAATACTTGATATTTTACTAGAATTGTAACTTTGACAGCTCCACACAAAAAGTCAGGCCTCCTATGATCGAAGCTCAGCCTTTTTGCATCTATACTGACATTCAGTAAATGCATGCAGTGTTTTTTGTCTTCAAATAAGATGTTTGTATTCTGGGGAGTTGTGAGAAGTCAGAAGTATTCATAAATCTTCCAGATGGTCCTCATGAAGCTCCACCTTTGGACACAGTCCAGCTAGGGAGCAGTACCAGGAACCCCAGTGAAACTACAAGTTTTTATAACCCCCTTCAATAATAAACCCCAACATTTTCTTCAGAGCTGGAATCTCTGTTACTAAATAAAAGAAAGCAAAAATATCTATAATATACTGTAGGTTCTCCTTTTAGTAAGGAGAACATTTCTCTATCTAGCCACAGGAAGAGCTGAATTTGTAGAGGGAGCCGTGCATGCTGAGTTCTAGATGACTGAAACTAATGGAAGGGTCTTGAGAACATTTTGAGAGAGTAAAGGAATTTGAAAAGGAAAGGCCTGCAAAGAGATGGATGACAGAAAGTCCAGGTACTGCTTATGGTTAGGGAAAGAAAGGACATAGTCTGGAGAAGAGAAATGTCCTGGGCCTGCTTCATCACAGGTGAGAGGGCACAGACTTCACAGTTCTGTCTTCAGCACCTCTCAGCAATGCTCTTGTGTTTTTCTTGTTTTGCCATTTCCATTAAGTAATATATCTGTTTCAATAAGATTGTTTTATAAAAATTACCTGAAAAAATAATGGCTTGCCTATTTTAAAAATAACAATCTCTACAAGTAGTAATTTTAAATACATACATTGATGACTTTCAGGGCAAGGTACCCCATTTAAGACATGGTCATATCACTCTTCTCTTGAAGCAGGTGACCTAATAACTGGAGTAAGGAGCTTGAAGACATAGGGCCCTAACAAAGAATGAATATACAGGCCTTCCATGGTGTGTCACCACATAATTCATATTTCTTTGTTGGTTACACTTCACACCTATTCACTTCTTTACCAAACTTATCTTAAGCATCCCTGGTGTTATGGTTTGTGTCTAGATGTCCCCCCAAAGCCTCATGCAGTCATGGGGTGGGCTTCTAGAGTTTTTGACTGATTCATGGTCCAATGCTGGGATTATGGGTGTACTACACCCTCCCTGGGGCAGGTAGTTTGCATACAATATAAGGGAGGGAAAGGGGCTTGCAGGGCCTCCTCTTGTTCCTTTGCTGTTTTCCTGCTGCCAGGAACTGTTGCCCTCTGCCATGTGCTACTCTGTCTTGGTGCCAGCTATGTGGATTGAAACCTCCACAAATTGTGAGCTGAATAATCCTTTCCTTCCTTAATTTTCGGTGTCTGATATTTTATCTTAGCAACGAGAGAAAAGTAACCAAGACAGCTGGGTTTCCTTGTTTTTTTGGATCTGAAGGCTACACTGTCAAATGAATGTTATGTTAAATAAATCTGTATGCTCTTTTTAGGTTTATGTGCTATGTTAGGAGCTTCAGCCATAAACCTAGTGATGGGTGAAGAAAAAAATACATTTTTTCTCCCCTACATATTAAAAATCAATTGTATTTCCACCATCCAGGACAATTTGGTAACTAGTCTTTAAAAAATTTTACCTGTATAAACCTATACATGAGGATATATAAATATTTAGGTGAGAGAAAAGTTTTGCTTTACTATTATCTTTAAATTTGAGGTGAAGAGTTTCAATTTTCATGATAATTCATTGGAGATATATAACTGCCCTTTTATTGACTTTACATTTTTTATAAATATGAATCATATTACCACAACAATACTTTTTGATACTTCTCTACATACTTAGGATATTGCTCTAGAGGAAACAATAGAGGTGGCTTTCATAGATCCGGAAAAATCTACACAGTATTTTAAAACATATCTTCAAGTTGCTATCTTTAAAACGTATGTAAGGGCTGGGGATTTAGCTCAGCGGCAAAGCACCTGCCTGGCAAGCGCAAGGTCGTGAGTTTGATTCCCAGTACCGGAGAAAAAATAAAACATATGTATACTTTTGGATGTTAGAATGCTAATGTCCAAAAATATTTATTTATTTGTTTATTTTTTGAGGCATGGTCTCACTATGCAGATCATACTGGCCTTTAACTCACTTTGTAGTCCAAGCTGGCCTCGAACTCACAATGATCCTCTTGCCTCAGCCTCTGGAGTGCTGGGATTACAGGTGTGATCTACCACTCCTGCCCCCAAAATATTTGTAAACAATGAGTACTGTCAGCTTTTCAAACCTTTTCAAATAGGAGACATAAAAATTAAATCTTATCATTATTTTCACTTTGAAAACAATTAGTTGAGCCTATACATTTAGATAGTGGCCCTTCTATTATTTGATTGGTCATGCCTCTTCATTTCCCTGTTAGGATGGTGTTGTGTTTATAGTCTTTTACAGAGATGGTTTCTGTGTGTTAATAGGTTATGTTATCAATGCAGGAGAAATATAACTCCTGGTCTGTTAATGTCAAATATGGTGAGTTTGTAGTTTTACAACATTGAAGAATGAAGTCCCAAATCAAAGGAGGAAGTTGGGAGTTTTATTGGAAATAAGAAGACAAATAACTCCTAGATTTCCCACAAGGGGGTCCTGAGTGGTTTGCCACCAAGACCTTTTGCCAGGGGTAATTTATACAGCAAAATACCAACATGCGTTCAAGTTGGGTCTAACTACAATTAGCCTATGGGATTACAAGTATAGCTGCATAGCTAATATTGATCCAGTAGGGAAACGTGTCATGTAACAAGGGTATATGGAATGAAGAAAGGCATTTTTGGGGAAGGGAGTATAGGTCTGGATGTTCTGGTCACACACCTGGGTGATTGATGCCTACCTAGGCCCACTGGACCAAGTGGTGCTAATTACAGGACAATCTCAAGTTGCTGTCTATCTTTCAGGTCAGGCTACTGCATCTCCAACCTGAGGCCTGACTCTTCTGTTCATCTGCAGCCACAGTTGTGATGTCTTTAATATTTCTGCTGACTTCCTTGAGGGCCCAACCCTTCTCTGAGTGTATGTGAATTTCTATCTAGCTTAGCTATCTATAATATTATTATGAGTCACATTTTTAAATGATTAACAAATGTGAATTCATGTAATCTTCAAAAAAGCTCGGTGAGGTATGAGTAATATTATACCCCTTTAGAGACTAAGACAAGTGATATAACCACTATATATTTGATTTTTGTTTAGTTTTTCTCTTCTTTTTTTTTTTTTTTAGTTTTAGTTTTTCTCCGGTACTGGGAACCGACCTCACGACCTTGCGCTTGCCAGGCAGGCGCTTTTGCCGCTGAGCTAAATCCCCAGCCCCCCTTTGTTTAGTTTTTCTTTCAACTGTTGAGAGGGATATTGAATTCTCTGCTATAGTTTTGAATAGAAGTACTTTTCCTTTTAATTCTATCAGTTTTTGTACAGACATTTTACAGTTCTCTTCTTTGATGCATGCTTATTTAGACTTGCTTGGTTTTCTAATTGGAGAGATCATTTTATCATTATGTACTGTTCCTCTCAATGCCCGCTCATTTTCTAGGTTCTGAAGTCTTCTTATGTAATTCTAATGCATACAGATAATTTTGCTTCCTTTTGGTTCATTTTGAATGGCTTGTTTTGAATTTTTGATTTTAACCTACATTCTTTTTTATATTTGCGATAAGATTTTTCTAGACAGTGCACAGCCAGAGTGTTCATTTTTATGCAATTGGCTAATCTGGTTTTGAAGCGGCATATGTACACCATTTTCACTTATATAACTATTAATACCGCAGGACTTAAGGTTGTGAAGCATATCACAATATATTGCTGTAGCATAAAGATTATTTGAATTAAAGGAAATTGAGAAAAAGCAGATACAAGACAAGCTCTCTGCTATTTGCCTAAATGCAGGACATAAATTTACAGAGATGTCCCTTTCCCCTTCTCTACTAGGAAGGGCAAAAAGTTAATTACTGGGAGACTTAAGACTCCTCAGCCGAGAGAAGGCCCCAGAGGAGTCTGCAGTTGACCTTTTGTTCTACTAGTTTTACATACATCTGCTTTACCACAACCTGTCACTTCTAGAGATTCAAAGTCCTTTTCTTCTCTTGTCAGGATGTCCTATTTTACTGCTCTCTGTCCAACCTGCTTCATAAATGTTCCCCTTCAACTGCTTCTTTGGATCTTCATTTCTTAAAGGGGGCTCTCATGTCATGTAAAACATGAAATAAATGTGTATGTTTTCCCTCTGGTTAATGTAGCTTTTGTTATAGGGGCGACAGCTAAGAAGAAAGGAATAGCAAAAATGTTCCCCCTACTTCCAGGATTTGCCCTTTATTTTTAGTGGTTTTTGTTTTCTAATGTTCTCTGTTATTCATTTCTCTGCTTCCATAAATTGTCCAGCTTTCCTGTAGATTACAAAGATTTCTAAATTTCAATTTATCAATAGTATTCTCTTTTGTAATGATCTTAAATACTTCTTTTACATATATTAATAACCGCATCAGAGGATATCATCAGCTTTGCTCTAAACATACTTTTGAAACTCAGGAAAATTGTATTTACCCATAAGTTTGTATTTTCTGTTTCTTTTCTTCCCTTCTATTATTGTTGCTGGAGTCCTTGCCAGAGATTGGTTTCTGTGGCTCGCAACAGACCAGGTCTGGCCACAGGCCACCAGAGAGCTTAAATAAGAGTGACAGAGAAATAGCAGTGAAACACAGAAGGAATTTATTTTGGTTTGGCCAGACTGGAACGAGAGCTCTTGTAGAAAACTCTCTCCCATGTTTGGATAACAGCTTCAGCATTATATAGAGGAAGGACAAAAGCAGGGAGCCAGGAGTATGCTTGGGTAAAGCAGTCTCAGCCAGGGTGTGACCTCCTTGCAGGTCTAGTTCAATGGGGTCTGGTTGGGGCGGCTGCTACCATGGTTTGAGGGGAGCAGTTTATATTCCCAGCATAAGATGATAGAATGGTGGAAAGAGAAACAACTTAAAAATAACAGGTTAGAGAAAGGAAGGAAATGAAGTCAGGACAATGACTGGGTCCTCCACTGAATCCCCCAATTAAAAAACTCCTCTTATGGTGGTCATGGTGGTGTGCTCTTGTGATCCCAGCACTTGGGAGGCTGAGCCAAGATAATTGCCACAAGTTCAAGGCCAGTTTGGGCTACACAGTGAGTTCAAGGTCAGCATGCAGTACCAAACAAAACCTTGCCTCAAAAAGCTAAAACCAAACCAAACCAAACCAATCAACCAACCAACCAAACAAACAAAAGTAGTTACTTTTTATATGATGTTCCTCATATCTTCAATAATTTACTTTCTTTTTCAACATTTTCTTGTTATCCTTCTAAGAAAAGGCATGCTAACAACAAATTTATTTTTCATGCCTCTGGGAGTGCCTTTATTTCCCTGTTAATGTCTCAGTGATAAAGAATTAACAGTTGATAGTTCCAATTCTTTTCTTTTAGCCCATGAAAAATGTCTTGGCGCTTTCTATTCCTCACCTAGTTTCTGACTGAAAATCTACTGAAATCAGACTTGAGTCTTCCCTTACAGGTAAGGTTTTGCTTTTCCTTTTGGCTGCCTTAAGCTTATTTGCTTTGGGGGTTGGACATGTACTATAGTGATAGAGAGCTTGCCTAGCATGCACTATTTTCTTTGTCTTTAGCTTCTATGAGATTCATTACCATGTGTTTGCATAAGCTTCTTTAGGTTTATTTGATTTGAGGGTCATTTAGCTTCTTGAAATCTGTTGTCAAATTTATGACAGTTTCAGTCACCTTTCTTCAAATAGTTTTTCTAAACATCACCTCCTCTTATAATTGAACTAGAATGACAGGCGTTTAGGTATTTTGCTATAGGCTAGGATATCTGAGATAAAAAGAAAACCCATTAGTACACTGAATTGTTTCTCAGACCTTCGGGTTCATGGCCAGTCTATGTCCTCTCCACCTTTCATGCCCTGTGGTTTTCTATGTACAATAGCTTGTGTGTGTGTGTGTGTGTGTGTGTGTGTGTGTGTGTTTGTGAAACAGCATCTCATTATGTAGCTAAGGCTTGCCTTAAATTCACTGTGTACAAAGTCTGACTTCAACTTCATCATGATCCTCCTGCCTCAGCTTCTCAAATGCTGGCATTAGAGCTATCTTCCACCATGCTTGGCAGTGATTTTTAACTATATTTAGCAGAAGGATTACAGAGAATTGTGGTCTACTCTGTATTAATTTTTATACTTTTGAAATGATTATGTGGTGCTTCAATATGATAATATAGGACAGCAGATCTCCAGCTACTATTTTTAAGTTAACTTTTTGTAAATCCAATGGGTACAGTCTTTTACTTTTGTTTTTTGACAGTGACTTTCAAAATACTGGAAGTATCTGCACTGACTTAGAACTTCTGTTAGATAAATGCAATTTACAGATTTGATGAACATCACCTAGAGATTTCTTTGAGGATTTGTTAACACTGTTAACCTTTTTCAAAAGAAGGTACACATATCTTCTGTTTTAACCAGTGTCCTAAGATCTACAAATGGCCCTTGGCAAATAATCAAGAAATTAAAGTATTTTTGGTTCCAGTTCTTCTGTTGTCCACTCAGTGACAGAGTCTAGTATTGAACACATAGACTGAAATCTAGGCTCTTTGAAAAGCTTCTACTTTCCCATTGTAAAGTCTATTTTTATATATCTATGTTGTGACCATTTCACATGATCACTTCCCACTACATATACACACATATCACATCTGGAACATTGTTGGAGCCTCCATCGTCTGGTAGTAATAAATTGTCCAGTAGTATAATTTGAAGTTTTCTAGCAGTTATATTACTATAACAAATATAATCAATAAAAATAATTATAAATGATGTACTTAACATCTTTTAAATACTATTTTCATATGTATAAGACACTTAGTTTGGATGAATCATGCTTCAAGTTCTTTATAGCTGCTTGGGACTAGTGGTCACTGTTTGTTTGTTTTTGTCTTTTTGAGACAGGGTCTCGCTATGTAGTTCAGGCTGACCTTGAGCCCACTTTGTAGGCCAGGCTGGTCTTGAACTCACAATGATCCTCCTGCGTCAGCCTCCTGAGTGCTGGGATTACAAGCGTGCGCCACCACGCCTGACTGGTCACTGCTTAGAAGCACTGTGTTCCAAAGGCAGTACAGTTGGAATTATACATTTGGATGACAGCAGAATCTCCTTTCTTTACTCACCCTGGACTTTACCCCTTCCCTACCTCAGGGAGGTTGCAGTACCATCTCTGGAATCTTGTGGTTTTCTCTGTTTTCTTGTGACTCTAGATTGTAGGCCTTGTTTTTAAATTCACATGCTTGACATACAGGTAGTGGTTAAGATAGTTAGGGACCCCCATGGTGTAACAGTGCTAAGACAAAGGCTGAAACAACAAAACAAGCCCACAGCACAACAGTATGTAGTCTGTAATGCGACTTTTTGTTTCTCTATCCTTGGTGCTTTTTTTAAGAGATCCATCATGTGATACTGATAAAACCAGGGAATCAGAATGTTTGCATGAAATGAGAACTTATTATCAAGGAATAAAGCCTTATAAGCACTCTAGCTTTACTTGTTTTCGGTCAGCTAATCTTACTAATTTGGGTGGTCACATTTGGGGACTATATTATCAGTTTCCCACCAGCTCTGCTGTAGACAACATCTCTGACATGTGGGTTATGGCAACAAGTACTATTACAGAGCCTAATCAGTTACTAAGAGTAGAGGAAAAACATTACCTCTACATGATGAAACAGGGCTGGCAATTTTCTTTTCAAGATCATTCAAGTCACATTATAGTTCTGTGGCTTGTAAGAGCAAAAACCAAAATCCTTTGTTTATGCAAACAGGTACATTTCAAAGTGAATGGCTTTTTCTGACCTTGTGGTTGGACTTGTTACTCCTTTTCCTCTCAAATTTGTATGAACAAATAATTTCCAATATTATTCTAACACCTCCCCTTCACAATTTTTTCAAAGGCAAAAATCTGCTAATTTTTATTTTTATTCCTAATCTTTCAAAGGAATAATTTATTGATATTGAGGTAATTGCTGACAGGATTAAGTTATTGTACAAGTAGCCATATGCTTCTTGGTTTGCTTGACTCAGAATTATGTGGATGAATGAAAATTTTTTTTTCCCCATCCATGAGTCAGTGTAATGTAGATTCTTTATGTCACGATGTATTCCCTTTCTCCCACTTTCTCCCGTTGTGATGTTGAAAGAGTGAAAACGTGCCAGCCTTGGTGGCACAAACCACCAAGCACTGGTGAGGCTGTAGTCCCAGCACTGGTGAGGCTGAGGCGGGAGGATCCTTTCGAGTTCGAGGCCAGCCTGGGCTACAACGGGAGCTCAAAGCCGGCCCGAACTGCATAGCGAGCCCCTATCTCAAAAAGATTTAAAAAAAAAAAATAAAATAAAATAAAATAAAAGGATGAAAACAGGGCTTGACGGAAGTATGTCTTAAATGTAACCTACTCAGAAATAATCTTAAATCTGTTCACTTATAAAACTGTAGTTAACAACTTTGAAAAGGACCAGTGGCCAAAAATCTATGAACATACACACTCTCGCTCGTGTTTAAGAAGTTTTGAGAATATCAAATTGATCTAGTTATTATTCATATTTAAGAAAAGGCTCATCAAACTAGATATTAGTGATTGGATAACACGAACCTCAGAAGGAAGGGTTATATGCAAATGAGGGATTCAAATACGCGTTTTCTATTGGTTAGTTAGCTTGGCCAATAGGAGAACAGCACAAGCCTGGCGCTAGTACGTATAAATACTTCCCCTCTGGGACCTGTTGTGGCAGTTCTTTTTACTTTGTTTCGGTAATTGTTCGTTTTTGTGGCGATAACGATGTCTGGACGCGGCAAACAGGGTGGCAAAGCTCGCGCCAAGGCCAAGACGCGGTCGTCCCGCGCCGGTCTGCAGTTCCCGGTGGGACGCGTGCACCGCCTGCTCCGCAAGGGCAACTACGCCGAGCGCGTGGGCGCCGGCGCCCCGGTGTACCTGGCGGCCGTGCTCGAGTACCTGACGGCCGAGATCTTGGAGCTGGCGGGCAACGCGGCGCGCGACAACAAGAAGACGCGCATCATCCCGCGCCACCTGCAGCTGGCCATCCGCAACGACGAGGAGCTCAACAAGCTGCTGGGCAAAGTGACGATCGCGCAGGGCGGCGTGCTGCCCAACATCCAGGCCGTGCTGCTGCCCAAGAAGACCGAGAGCCACCACAAGGCTAAAGGGAAATAATTCGATACTGCCTATTTTTAGCGAGCTAAAGGAATGCTGACAACAAAGGCTCTTTTCAGAGCCACCCACTATTTCTGTTAAATTAGCTGTCATGCTTGGACTTAAGAATTTAGCGTTGCAGTTTTGAGGTAAAAAGTTTTATTTGCAGTACTATAGGGTAAGCCCATTTTCATCTGTAAAACCTTTAGTTGGGAGAAGAGTTGGCAGAATTAAGTTGCTGTAAGAAGAGCAGTTAAACTTTGGAAGCAGCGTAGCAAGGTATCACCGGAAAAACTATTTAGACAAAAAGGCACACTACATTTTAAAGCCCAGTCTGTGAAAGTATTAAGGAACCTCCACATATATCACCTATGTTGAAGTTTAGAAAAATTTTTGCTTAAGTAAATTATGCGCTCCTTTAATAACTACCAGCAATTACGTTCCAAAATCATTTAACTTTTTCTCAATTGCTCACAGTACTTATACACTGGCAAAGTGAAATAAAATTTGCTCCAAGGGCACATTTCCCTAGTCGCCACAACATATCTGCTTTTAACCATAATGTATTGGCGGTTTATACATTCTATAGTATGATTCCCTTATTTTAATTTCCAGGGGTCAGAGTCTTGCTGTGCTGGAGTTTGTTCACAGTCGCCATAGAAACCAAACTAAATGTAATGACGTCATAATAGCGACAGTGGAAAACCAGGGTGTTCTATTGGTTCACCAAATTCAATGCAGTTTTTAATCCGGGAACGACCGCAAAAACGGACCAATCCGAGAAAAGCGCGGGCAATTTTGAATGTCTTTGGGTCCAATCAATAGTAGTCTGCCTCTATAAAAGCAGGTAGCTCTTCTTTTTTCTGTAGTCTGTGAAGACCGGTCCTGTGTTTTGAGATGGCTCGCACGAAGCAGACGGCCCGCAAGTCCACCGGCGGCAAAGCCCCGCGCAAGCAGCTGGCCACCAAGGCTGCTCGCAAGAGCGCGCCGGCCACCGGCGGTGTGAAGAAACCTCACCGCTACCGGCCCGGCACCGTGGCGCTGCGCGAGATCCGGCGCTACCAGAAGTCTACCGAGCTCCTGATCCGCAAGCTGCCTTTCCAGCGCCTGGTGCGCGAGATCGCGCAGGACTTCAAGACCGACCTGCGTTTCCAGAGCTCGGCTGTCATGGCGCTGCAGGAGGCATCCGAGGCCTACTTGGTGGGTCTGTTCGAGGACACCAACCTGTGTGCCATCCACGCCAAGCGCGTCACTATCATGCCCAAGGACATCCAGCTGGCGCGCCGCATCCGCGGGGAGAGGGCATAAATAAACCAAAACTTGGACTCTGGAACCCAAAGGCTCTTTTAAGAGCCACCCAATTACTCGAATGAAAGCAGCTGAAAGCACTCAAACGGGCTTTGGGGAACTGAAATTAGCAACATTTTTATTCTGGCTAAAAACAAGATTTCCTGAAACTTTCATAGTAAAATACCCTCACTTTACACATAGTGTAACAATCTTTGTGAAATGTAAGTATGCAGTATAGTCTTTGTCCCCTAGGACAATAGAGCTTTGTGTGCAACACAAGCAATTGTGCCTGTATAATTGAATTTCCAAGTTCTGGCGTGATTAACTTTGTGGTTTTGCTTTCCAAAATTTAAATGTTTGCTGAAATAAAGGTGACTTGCCGAGGACTAGTTTTTGACTTTAAGCTAGCTTTTCGGTGTAAATTTTGTGTTTTTTCTCTATTTAGAAAACTAGAACTAAGTGTTGCTGAACTGCTGACAGGTACTAATTCCCTAGACACTGCATTTCTCTTTTCCACCAATTCCTTATACCTGACATTCTCTTTCACATCTTAGTTGTGCATTGATGTACCATGCTAAATCCTGGCAACTATGAACCATGTAAAACACATGTGGTTTATGTGGATTTGTGTTCTAGGGTTTTATTAACAGCATTTTTTTTTTTTTTTTTTTGGTCTTTTTGAGACAGGGTCTCGCTTTTCAGTTCAAGCTGATCTTGAGCTCACTTTGTACCCTAGGGCTGGTCTCCAATTGTGCAAGGATCCTCCTGTGCCTCAGCCTCTCCAGTGCTGGGATTACAGGCATGAGTCATAAAGCAACTTTTGGTCTATAAAATAGCATTTTAAGTGGTGACAATAAAATGTGTGGGCCTTAATTTTTCTAGAGTACAAGAAGCAACTGCCTGGCAGACAGCTGAGTCCTATAAGTGTCAGAATTGCACACTTGTCCTGTCCAAAGTGACTGTGCTAGCTTTGGGCCCCTGCTGAAGCACAAGCATTTCAGTATTCTGGTTATAGCTGTGCTGGATTTAATGTATAGTGTTCAACTTTTTTTTTCTTTCTTTCTTCATCTAACTCTTCAATTGTGAGTCTGTCTCAGTCTCTCTGTCTAGTCTGTCTGTCTCTCTGTCTTTGTTTTGCTTGTAAAGGAAAAGTGTTTCAGGCACAAGTTCTGAAAGAAGCATTGCAAAAGTTCCCATTATTGTCCTAGGGTCAGCTGGCCAGGAGCAGTGGCTCATTCTGGCTACTCTTGACTGACTTACTCCTTTGCTCTGACTTTTCCTTTGTCTGCAAGTATAAAACATAGATCCTGTTTTCAGAGTTCATTTACATGGAGCCTTCAAGAGAACAGCATAATGTAAGTAAATAAAAGGTTACACTAGAATTCATGACTCTGCTAGAATAACTACAGGAAGATTAGAAGCTGGCCAGAAATAGTAGCACTTGCTGGTAGTTTGTTCAATTTCAAATTTCAGCCATATTACCTACTGTGTCATCCAAGACAAATCAATTTCTCCATCAGAAAAATGGAGGTAACCTTTAAAAGTTTGTAATGGGATTTGAGGACACATTGAGCTATACAAATATTAATTACTTTTAGCTATATATTACTTTTGTTTTTCCGGTACCGAGAATTAAACTTACAACCTTGGGCTTGCCAGGCAGGCACTGTGCCGCTGAGCTAAATCCCCAGCCCTTTGCTATATATTACTTATACCCTAGGATTTTAAAAAACTTGACATGACCTAAAGTTTAACTTCTGAACTTTTCATTTGGTCTTAGTGGCATAGACATTTCAGTCTATGCTTAGAAATTAATCTGTCCAAAACCAAAATTCCTGTATGCTTTTATAAATCAAAGAATGAAAAAAAATTCCACATTTATGAAAAAAGCATCACAGACCATTTTACATGAATAGTATTGCCAGGGCACCTATTATTTTGTACTTGGACAGTGAGTAAGGAGTGCTGCAGAGAAAGATGGGCAGAAATGCTATCCCCAAATTGTCTCTAATGTATAAGAATTATTTTGAGCTAAAGACATTTAAAACATATAGGATACACAGGGTTCATTCTAATAGGCTCTTTTCTTAAAAAAGGAAACATTACCTTATGAAAGACATCCTCATTTTACTAGGAGAAAAGAAATATTCTACAAAGGAGAGAAATCAAAGATTCTGAATAAGCACAGCAGAAAGTCATCACAGAGAATTTTGTGCAGACATTAAGAAACTTATTGCTTTCTTTCAGCCTCTTTGCATAGTTTATATTCCAATTGCTTCTCTTTGTTCAACTTAGTATAAAAACAATTAGGCTTTGCCATTTGTTTGGGTTTTAGTTTCACTAAGGCTACTCTGTCCATAAACTATATGACATACATTTCAATTCTTTATATATTTTTAATCTGTTTCACGTGAAATTAATTCTCAGGGTAGCACCAGAACCTAATAGGATAGAGATAAGTTTTACCTTGTATGTGTTCAGTGTTGGCTGTTTCAAGGGCTTAGGTAAAACAAAGTAATGCTACACCACAAGCTGAAATTGATAGCTAAAGTTCTTTGAGTCTATAGTTTGATTGTAAAGAATTGTGTGGAAAAACAAAGTTCTGAGAGAAGAGAAATAATTCAAATTGTGTGATTGTCCAGCCTGAAAAATTTAGTATTAGCCCTTCCAGTTTTTCCAGAAGAAATGGTTTACTAATTAACAAGTGTTAGAGACCTATACCACAAAAAGTGAAAGTCTATATGCAGATTTGGAAATTTGAGCTTCATTCTAGGCTTGGTTGTGAGAATACCGAAAGCGTCTGAATACTTTGGGAAAGAGAACAAAGAAATATTTTTTGGACAATCATTTTAAATATGTCACAAATAAATTGTCAGCATCTTGTGCTTTACCATTTACTGTTATTTTAAAAAGACCTGTATACATATTTGTTGCTAGAGATCCTGTTCTGTAAGTAAAAATTTTAAAATGAGATGAAAGCAATATCCCATTTCTAGCTGCACTTTAAAATTAGTGACACGTAAAAATAGCCATATTTATGTTGCACCTCTGTTCTAACATTTTGTTTACATTTAGCTAACCCAAATTCTCACAGAAGGCCAGTAGTGTTATTATTACCCCGGTTTCACAAATGGAAAAAGGAAATGGCAGAGTTCTAAAGTCACAAATTCCTCCTGAATAAGAAAATCAGATGTGTAAGGATGGCAAAACTCCACCTTCATTCTTTAGAGTCCAGGTTGAACTTGGAAGTAAAAGAATATGCCAACCACAGACAGGCATAGCATTTTAATACAAATATTATGTGGCACACAGTAATGGTGACCTAGAGAAAATGGTAGTACCCACTAACATGTTGAACTGGATCAATAGCAGCAAACAAAATGTGACAAGGTAAAGAAGCTTGGAAGTGACCAAGAAGGGCTAGTTTATTTAACAGTTTAGTTCATTTGCAGGGAATTCTCTGGGCCTCAATTTCTGGCCTTTACAGGAACTTTTCTTGCTCTCCTCTCCCTTAATATAAGGACATCATTCCTGTGCGAATTTCAATCTTTTATACTTTTTTTTTAAAGATGCTTTTAACCTGTCTACATCATTAATAAAATAGAAGAATATATTTCTAACTAATTCAAATGCTTTGTCATTAAAATTGAAGCCCTTAGTAAAATTCTTAGGCGATGATGACTCTAAGTTCAAACACCATGTAATCAAAGGGAGGGAGAAAAGCAGGAATTAAAAACATACTACTATGTTCACTCTCAGAGGCCTCAGGTCATTGCCCAGACAAGGGCGGAGCCAACAGGACAGAGGCAGTGCCGCAAGAGCCCCGCCTCTTGTAGTTCTCAATTAGGTCCGATCACAGCTTATATCAACCCAGGTTGCAACCTTCCACGTTACTTGACTAACTGCTTTTGTAGGGGACGTGTTAGTCATGTCTGGTCGCGGTAAAGGAGGCAAGGGCCTTGGCAAAGGCGGCGCCAAACGTCACCGTAAGGTGCTGCGCGACAACATCCAGGGCATCACCAAGCCCGCCATCCGCCGCCTGGCTCGCCGCGGCGGCGTCAAGCGCATCTCCGGCCTCATCTACGAGGAGACGCGCGGGGTGCTGAAGGTGTTCCTGGAGAACGTGATCCGCGACGCCGTCACTTACACGGAGCACGCCAAGCGCAAGACGGTCACCGCCATGGACGTGGTCTACGCGCTCAAGCGCCAGGGACGCACGCTCTACGGTTTCGGCGGCTAAACCATACGTCTTTGTTACTTTCCTAAAGGCCCTTTTCAGGGCCGACCACTTTCTCACAAAAGGAGTCACGTCACTGTATAAGTCGGGTGTGAGCCAGGTTAGTTAGGCTCTATAGAGCCGGCGGACCTTAAGCGTTCCCAGTTTGGGCCGCAGCGAAAGGCCGTGCCAGACCCGTTACCCATTTCTCTCCTTGGAGGGAAGTGGGGTCCTATCCCCACTGCCAGCAGCTTGTAGAGTCCCGGTGCCATCTGAACAAAAGAGAGTGAAAAGTCTTTTTTTTTTTCCTAGGGAACCAGTTTCAGTGTTAACTAAAGGACAATTTGAACCTTGTATGTGAAGATCTCTATCCCATTTACATAGGTATTATAAGTAACCTAGAGTAATTTCAAATGCATTGGAAGATCGTTGTGTGAGTACAGTTCCATTTTAGATAAGGTAAATAAGCACTTGGGGAGCAAATGATGAGTCTAGTTTGAAAGCTAAGAACTTGGAGAACTTAGTGTAGCATTGTTAGTAAGTGAGTAGAAAAAAGTTTTATTAGGAACTGGATAAACAGTAAAGGTCTGTATCCATAAAGTGGAATATTACACAGACCTACAGTTTTTCCAACTGCCATGAAAAAAATTATACTCCATGAAGAATACATGGAGTTATTTGTACTTTTCCATGGTTCTGCTATTCCATACGTTGTTCTTGGCAGTGGCGTCCAATTCCATTATTTATTTGTTCTGTGTTCTGTGAAATAGTTTATATTACAGCTGTTCTAGTCCAGTTGGTAGCCAGGCCAAAGCCTATTGTGATAGTGCAGCTATTTTTCATCCTAATGGTTGCTTTTTTTTTTTTTTTTAAGAGTCCTTAACTTGTATTCTATAAATTTCCTTCACTCACTCCCACCTACACTAAAAAATAATTTTAAAAATACTGTTTACCTCTTCCGCTAATGGCCAGACATACCCAGTTGCATGTCTAATGTATCTACTTGAATATTTAATAAGCATTCCAGACTTGTCCAAAATAGTTATCTTGACGTCCAAATGGTTTTTTCTTCAGTATTCCCCATTTCAGTAAAGGGAACTCCATTCTTCCAGCAGCTCAGGCCAAAAACCTTGCAGTCGTGGTTTGTCCAATTTTCTGACAACTTCCATTCAGTCCTGTGCTCTGTGCTCCAAGTTCACCTTCCAGTTCTTAGGCTGCTGCTGCTTCTCTCAGAGAAACCACATCATCTTTTGTCTGGATGACTCCAATGACTTCTAACTAATCTTTTTGCTGCACTTTTGATGCCACCTTCCTAGTTTCTTCTCTACCTAGCAGCAAGAATATCCCTGTCTTCATGAAAAATATTCACCTCTTCCTTCTCAGAATATTTCCAGTGGTTTTCCATTGTCTTCATAATAATATCCTTATTACAGCCCAAAAGCATACGGAATACTCAGTGCCTGAGTCCTAGGGGTTTCTAGGGACTTTCAGTGAGTGCTAAATACTGGAAAATACCAGACAAACAAGGTCCTACTGTTGTAGGCAGCTGAGTTAGATAGAAATGTTATAGGCAGTCAGACAGGGCCCTCGAAGGAGCCTACATGAAAGATAAGATACATTTTTGCTGTGGCCAGACCTCAAGGCAAAAGATTAAACAAATACACCCACATACCTCCCTAGGGATGGACATCAGGGATTGATATTCTAAATAGGTAGTGATCATCTTGAAGAGTCCCTGATCCCAGCCCCTTAGAGGAAAAGCACCTGTTCTGTATTCATGGCCGCTTGCTATGTGACTCGTTTCCCCATTTAATCCCAATTTAATCAATTTTACCTGAACAATTCTCATTGGCTGACCATAGTTTTGTCCATTTTCCCCTACCTTGGACCCGCCTCGCCTCGTGGTTTTGCTCTATAAAAGTCCCTAGAAAAGAGAGTCTGGGGCTACCACTCGAGACCCCCTTCTGACCCTCTCTTGGGCAGAAGCTTTCTTTCCCTCAATAAATATATTCTGCTCTTAACCTCCTTTGTCCCTAAAATTCATTCTTCGATTTTAGAGAACATGAACTCGTCCCAGGTATAGTTTAGGTTGGGAATTTTTATTTTCCTGTATCACTACCAGATCTGGCTCCTGGTTTATCCTCTGACCTCATTCCCTATTGCATTATTATTTGCTGATCTTGCTATTTTTTTAGTGGAAGGAGACATGAGTTTTTACACTTTTTTCTTTCTTCCTGGAAATGTTTTATACCAGATATCTGCTTGTCTTTGTACTTCATTTCTTTCAGGCCTCAGCTCAAATATCCACCTCATTAAACAGACCCCTCCCCCCCCCACCATGTGGTCTAAAATAATGCCTACCCCTTCATTTCTGTAATAGCACACAAATGTGCTATTTTATCTATAATACATTCTTCAATTTTTTGTTTACAATTCTGTCTTCCTCGTCTAGAATGTTATTCTTTGAAAGTGAGAACTTTGTTTTCTGTACCACACAGAATAGACCTAAACCCAGAACAGATCTAAAGTTTAAAATACAGTCTACGGAAGTTTGTTAAATGCATACATGTATGACCTTTTAACCAAGTCTCCAAGGCTGCCTCTAGCCCTGCAAGAACGCTGCTGCAACTGAGCACTCAGCATAGCAGTTTCTCTTTAGATTTGAGGGATGGGACAAGGACTGTAAATCAACCAAGAACTGAATGAATGGACTTAAAGAAGGCTCAGAGGTTTCCACCCATAGGGGTGGTAAACTAAGATGACTACAGTGCTGTCAGTACTGGTCTGAAATACTGTAAAAATATCAGGTACAGAATAATAGAAGTCACCTGTGACTACATATGAGCACATGGAATTCTCATCTCCTCACTGGCATACTGGAGGAGGCCATTAAATATCTCTTAAAGAAATACCAACTAAAAAGGACAGAATATGACAATCTTCCCTGCCAGGCCCATTTTGCTTGTCTGACTCCAAAATTGTTGAAATTGTCAGTCTTACATTAGGCCACAATGGCTACTTTCATCATTCTCCAACAAATGGTAAATGACCATTGACAGGTGGAAAACAGGATCCTCGAATCTAGGACACCCTCACAAAGGCAAGCACACTAAGGCTAAAAGCAGCCACTTACAAAAATGATACCAAAAATAGCCCAGTGAGAAGCGTTTGAGTATCTCTTCAGATAATGTTTCTCTATTAGCCAAGGGAGTTCACATCCATTCCTCAGAGTTCTGAAATCTGATATTATTTGATCACATAATTAGATTGGAGGGATCCTTTACAATTTTACGCTACAATCACTAGAGAATGCCCATACAGTACTTCTGAGTCTAGCACATGAAGACATTAACAGGCCAACAGCGCCTCTCCTTATTAATCCTCATCACCTGCTTCCCTGTCTGCAGGTTTCTCCATACACATTAAGATAGTTTACACAACTTAAAAAGTCATCCACTTTACGTGAACAATTCGAAGAGTTTGTATTTTCTACTTGTACAACCATCAAAACTAGTTTTAGGGCATCGCTTAATTTTCATTCTTCTGTGAAGAAAAACTATCCTTAAATTTCTTAGGATTCTGCATTCTGAGCAGCCATCTCTCTAAACAGGGTTTTCATTTTCTTTCATCCAGCTGTCCTGGTAGTCTGAACCTGCTTTCCATTTCAGGAAAACAAATCATCCGATTGGTGGCTACAATCTCCGTACTGTTCTTGGAACAAGATTGAGGGTGATTTACTTTTCCTATTTCACACTACATAGTTCTATATAACAGGGCCCGCCACTTTCCCCTTCATCAGGCCATCTGTTCTGATTGGCTGACAATGAGCCGAGCTCGCTGATAGGGCAGTATCTTCACTTGCTCGCTAAACTGACAAGATCCTTAAAAGCATTCCTAGTGTCTTAGTATGTTTCTACTCTTACCCGGTGCTTTTAATTTTCTTTCTACTCTTAACCTGTGAAGGGAAGCGAGTAGTAGGCAAATGATTTGAGTAAGGTGTGTGTAACACTTTATTTGGCTTTACCCTTGCAGCCCCGGCATACGTTCTAACCACCTTCAGACCTCTTTGGCTCTAATTTGGTACAGCTCCTTTTTGAATAGTTGGGCGGCCCTGAAAAGGGCCTTTGTTAGGAAGCGGAAGCCGCAGCAAACTCAGAAATCTCAGCCGCCGAAGCCGTAGAGCGTGCGTCCCTGGCGCTTGAGCGCGTAGACCACGTCCATGGCGGTGACCGTCTTGCGCTTGGCGTGCTCCGTGTAGGTGACGGCGTCGCGGATCACGTTCTCCAGGAACACCTTCAGCACCCCGCGCGTCTCCTCGTAGATGAGACCAGAGATGCGCTTGACGCCGCCGCGCCGCGCCAAGCGGCGGATGGCGGGCTTGGTGATGCCCTGGATGTTGTCGCGCAGCACCTTACGGTGACGTTTGGCGCCACCTTTTCCAAGGCCCTTACCTCCCTTACCACGGCCAGACATGACTCCCTCAGAGAAGTAACAGCAAGTGAGAATGCAGGCGCGAACCAGTCCTTATATATCTGCGCCCCCTCCCCCCGCCCAGCCGCGGCAGCGCAGGCAATAAAAAGTGCGCAGGCGCGAAACGTGATGCTGGCAGTCCCCGCCCACAACCCGCCTCAGAGCCCCAGGAAGTGGAAGGCGTGGACAGGGGAGGGCAAGCTAGGGTCAGTTGCTTCCACAAGTTTGTAAGGAAGCTTGACTTACTATATTATAAATGTAAACTCATGATTTCAGGAGCACTTTCAACACTTACGGGAAAATCTTTCACAACTCGACTTTGATCGTGATACTTTAACAAGGATATAACTGAACAGCTTGCCAGAAGCCAGATTTTGTGAATTTTCCCACAAACTCTGTGTTAGGGATGTTATACTATCACGTTTTCTGGCACTCGAGACTAGGTTTAAAGCACGGAATGCGATTTCTCCCAACCCCTCTAAGATCCTCAATGTACATTTCAGGGGAAGACCCGTGAGTCGAGTGCTTATGTATTTTCTTCCACGCTAAAATGCATTTACGATTTACCTAGTGGATCTTTAGTCACTTCACTTGAAAACATGGGTTAAGTTGGTGGAACTTACAGCCATTTTAGTTGAAAATGTGAGTGGCTCTGAAAAGAGCCTTTGATTAGAACCTTAAACTTGGTAGTGCTAATTAAGCCCTCTCCCCACGGATGCGGCGCGCCAGCTGGATGTCCTTGGGCATGATAGTGACGCGCTTGGCGTGTATAGCACACAAGTTAGTGTCCTCGAACAGACCCACCAGGTAAGCTTCACAGGCCTCCTGCAGCGCCATGACAGCCGAGCTCTGGAAACGCAGGTCGGTCTTAAAGTCCTGTGCGATCTCGCGCACCAGGCGCTGGAAGGGCAGCTTACGGATCAGCAGCTCGGTGGACTTCTGGTAGCGCCGGATCTCGCGCAGCGCCACGGTGCCGGGCCGGTAGCGGTGAGGCTTCTTCACGCCGCCGGTGGCCGGCGCGCTCTTGCGAGCAGCCTTGGTAGCCAGCTGCTTGCGCGGGGCTTTGCCGCCGGTGGACTTGCGAGCAGTCTGCTTTGTGCGAGCCATTCCTACAACTTCAAAAGAATCTGAAAGCTGCTAAAGCTGTATTCCACAGCAGCTTTGCTCTTATTTATAGTATGTACTGTGTGGTGACTGGACGATAACACAGTGTGTTCTTATGACGCCCCAGACTCTGATTGGTGTGTTTTAAAACGTCCTGCCAACGTGCAGTTTCATTGGTTACTATTTTCAATCCCGTAGTCTTTTCAGGTTTTTCACTTCCCCTTCCTGATCTTCATCTTTATAAACCTAAAGGACGTTCGGTTTGCCTTTTTGTAAAATTAGACATTAATTTGCAGGATAATTATAGTCAATTCTGGATTTGGGAAAATAGAGATTAAGTTAATAGTGGCTATCCACTCCGGAAATATACTATTTATATTTTGCTGCTTTCCTCTGACACCGAGTTTGTGACACCTTTTGCAAAATTCGGATTCCTTTACTGTTTATATTGAATAAGGACTATTATGGAGCCCTAGAAAACATACCGTGCCTAGTAAAATTAAATCACTGCTCACAGAAACATTTTCTCTAGTAAAATATCCTTTTGTTAAGTGTTCGTGCTCTTTTGTAGTCTTGGAGGCTTTTGAAAGCTTTTTTTTCCTACCGATGGCCTAGCGCATACTCTGCTCGGTGCAAAATGGCGGTGTCTGCCTCGTTTCCCGCCTTGCCGCGGGGCCACATGAGCGCGCCATTCCGATCAGCCGGATTAGACCAGAGGTCAAGGTGTGTAATTCAGTTTGGGGATGAGCAGACCCGATATCTGTAAAACATTAAAATGTTGGCGATTTTCAGTGCTAACAAGAAGCAGACATAATTCAACGTTTTGATTGATTTATTCCATTTTCCCAAGTGTCCTTTGAGAAAGCAGTTCTAGCACCATTCATTTGCGCAAAGCCTTTCTATTGCTTTCTGCGGGGGAGGGGAAGCCAAGGTTTAACACAATGGAAACAAAGAAGGGAGGCACAACTGTTTAAATGCAATCATACCGAAGTAGAACCAGAGTCACATAGTTCTCAGTTATTTCCGTACCGAAAGCTTTGATTAGATGCTTTGTTACTGTACGAAAATTTTGTTTCAAAAAGGATTTACTTAAAAACCTAACAATCTTGTCAACGTTATTTTGTAAGCTATCTTTCAAACGAGATGCGTGATATTGTTTTCATTTGTCTTGTTCCACATTCTTGGAAATTATTCATACATTTGAAAAGATAGCTTCTCAATAAAATGAAAAAATGCACAAAATCCTAGGACTATTACGTTATTTATTGTATTCCTAGGCCGGCGTGGACTTTAAAAAGTAATGCGCGTGGAAGAAGTCACTGCCTTGTTCTCCCATGGACTGGGCAATTACACACAGCCAGCCTATGGAAGAGGATGAGAACTTAATAGCACTTTATTCTCCTGTTTACAGCCACTGGTCTGTAACATGAAATTATTTTAGTATGTTGATGCTTTTCAACACGAGTTAAAGGAAGACTGCCCTACAATCTTACCCCAGGGATGTTGCCCTCTTGTCTTCACACAAAAGGGATTTAAATTCTTGGGACAATGCCTCTCAGAGAACCGGCTCATCCACCTAGCGTTTATTTAATCTCTGTGTAGGCGCAGTTGTGAGTCCTGTGAGTGGAGTGAGGATGAAGAGATTGTGTCACAGCGCAGATTGTATGTGTTGAGGTGGAACCGAGCTCTCTTTGGGTATGTAGTAGGGCTAAGGGCGTTGAAGATCCGTGAAATGCACTGGATGGCAAGAAAAGACAGTTATAACTGGAAGTGGTTTGCGTAACTCTCCCCACACGTGCAGTTAGAGTAACACCGGCGGTTACTGAATTGAGGAGTATTCTGGTTAGTTTTCCTTTGCCCAAAGCATGGAAGGCCAGAACCAGACACTCTTCAGCGAGCCAGGGGCAATCTCATGCCTGACAGCCGGTCCTAAAGGAGTAGAAGGCGTACACCGCGCTGCTCTTGCTACCTCCCTTATTCAAGATGTGCTCGTTTTCATTCCTAAAAAACTAGACTCGAACATCCACGCCGAGTCATCGCCTAGTAGCTTCAACCTAAATTCCTTGTGTGATTGCCTGCCTCATTCACACAGTTCCCCCGCTCTCTGGAGAGGCTATCTAAGGCGATAGCACTCTGTAAAGTTACTGGGCGGCACAGCCCGACTGGACTTTGCCTGAATTTCCATTTTTGCAAGGCGACTGGGACAGATTTCGAGGTGCGTTCGCGAACGAAGAGGGCAGGGAGACCAGATTGCTCAGAGAAAACCCGGGAAGCTCCGTGGCCGCCCAGGTGGCGCGGCGGTTTGGGGGCGGTGCCAGCGCGCACCAATCACGCGCAGCCCTGCTCTATAAATAGGCGTCGCCCAGTGACTCGCGCGCTCCTTATCAGTGGGTCTCCCTCCCTTTTGCTGTACTTTCTCTCAGTCGCCATGTCCGAGACGGCGCCGGCTGCACAGCCGGCCTCAACGGCTCCCGAGAAGCCGGCGGCTGCCAAGAAAGCTAAGAAGCCTGCAAAGGCTTCGGCAGCTGCTAAAAAGAAACCTGCGGGCCCCTCTGTGTCCGAGCTCATCCTGCAGGCGGTCTCCTCTTCTAAGGAGCGCAGCGGGGTGTCGCTGGCAGCGCTCAAGAAGGCGTTGGCGGCCGCCGGTTACGATGTGGAGAAGAATAACAGCCGCATCAAGTTGGGGCTTAAGGGCCTGGTGAGCAAGGGCACCCTAGTGCAGACCAAGGGCACCGGCGCCTCTGGTTCTTTCAAACTGAATAAGAAGGCGCCCTCCGGGGAGCCCAAGCCCAACACCGCGAAAGTTGCGACAAAGGCCAAGGCCGCGGGCGCTCCCAAGAAGCAGAAGAAAGCTCCGGCGGCCACCGCCAAGAGGGCGGTTAAGACTCCCAAGAAGGCCAAGAAGCCTGCGCTGGCGAAGAAACCTTCCAAGAGCCCGAAGAAGCCGAAAGTCGTGAGACCCAAGAAAGTAGCTAAGAGCCCCGCGAAGGCCAAGGCCGTGAAGCCTAAAGCGGCTAAGGCGAAGGTGATTAAGCCTAAGGCTGCCAAGCCCAAAAAGGCAACGCCCAAGAAAAAGTGAGAGCAGTCTGGTTGGAAGATCCTTCCGGTAACCCAACGGCTCTTTTAAGAGCCACCATTACATAGTTCAGGGAAAGAGCGTTGCACTCGTTGGCAGTTAGACGGCGTTCAGTCGCTGAAGCTAACAGGGTCTGGAGGCTTGCGTTTCCCTGTGTTTACCGATCGTCCGAATTTCGCATTTTCTGAGTTTACCGTTTTGGAAATAAAGCCCTTATTCTCTACATATTAGAAACACTTGGGGAATTTGGAGACAACCGCCCCCACCAGTACTAAAGTAGTTAAAGGTTATTAGGGCAAACTAGGCCCAGGCTGGGGCGTGTGCCACGTGCTTCTTACCTGCAGAAATTTGTGTTAAGATTAAGTAACGGCTGCATTCTTGGACCAGTGCTGCTAAAGTAGCTTCAATCTAGGTAGACCTAAAAGGCTGCGGTGGGTGGGGATAGGAGAGCTACACTCCCTACGAGTGCGTGGGTGGATCTGTCCCGGGAAATGCCGGTGGGCCTCGGCAGCAGTTTGTGGCCCTAAGCCCAGCCAGTGACCGGCCTCAAGCAGGGTCATCACTACTACTGGGGACAGGGGCTGTTGCGACGGGCGGTGCCCTAACCCGGGTGGGCTGGGGGCCGGGTCAGGACTGAGACCTTAGTTGGAGTCTTAGGCCTAAGGCCAGAGATCCCTTAGGTTTCTGTTTATAGAAACAGCTCTCCCTGATTGCCACTTTCATTCAATGTGGAAGAAACTGGATATTTCATCTCTTGGTTTTTCAGTTCTGGAGCAGCCCCCTCCAGCCCCCTTTAAACGCGGGTGCTCTCACACGATACCCCTTGTGGGCCCGCTGGCGGGTGTTTGGGGGGGAGGGTAAGGGAGATTTCCGCAGGGTGAGCTCCCCAGGTTAGAGTTTACCTGCGCAAGACATTAACAACAGGCAGCATGGAGCAGAGCACAGCCCAAGAGCAGCCTGCATCTTTATTGTGTAATTCTTATACAGGTTGTTATCTTATATGTACATTCTTATACTGTGCGGTAACCAACATATGCGTGTTTACCTGTGCTAAGTCAATTGTTTCCTACTCTTTGGGGTCACGTCCTCAGATGTCCTTAGACTCCCCGAGTTTTGAAGCAGTCTGAGTGCTTCCCTACACCTCTTTCAGCTTTTGCAATTATAATTCTGGATTCACATTTTAATGACTTGTCTATTCTGGATGCTTAAAACCTTTCTTCTGATGAAAGATTAACTATAGAATACTCCAACATTCATTAAACTTTTTTTTTTTTAATTGAACACCAGGCTGGGGATATAGCTCAGCGGCACAAACCTGCCTGACAAGCACAAGGTGAATTCGATTATTGTTTTTTTTTAAAAAAAATTGGAAACCATAATATATAAATAAAAATCCTAAAACTAATATAAATGTCAGTGAATAAACACAGCAATTGACTAGTCAAAAATAGAATGTCTCCCAACCTGCCCAGAGTGTCCTCACACTTGTTGTGTCATTAATTTTTGATTTTCCCTAAATATAACCACTATCCTAATTTCCAGCACTAATGCATCTGTTTTTGAAACTTGTATAAAAAATGGAAATAAAACAATAAACACTCTTATAGAACCTTAGGTTTGAACACTTTCATGTGCTGCTGTGTATAACTTTAATTCATTTCTAATGAATTAAATGTAATTCATCTTACTTCATATTTTATGAATGTAGCACAGTCTAGGTATCAAGTCCTTCACTGATCGATGTCTGAGTTCTTTCTAGTTATTACAAATAATGTGAACATTCTTGTGCATATGTCTTGGGTATATATACACACATACCTGTTGTTTGTATATCTCTGAATAGAATCATCTGATCAAATAATAAACTCTGAAAGTGGTATGAATGAAAAATAAAACCACAGTTAGAAGATACAGTATGGATAAACCTCACAGATTATTCCATGAAATCTATGTATAGTCCCTATAGTTCCACATCCTTCCCAATAAGTTGTGTTTTTATTTTTATATTTTGTTTTGTATTTGTTTTTATTTTTTATTTTTATTTTGAAGTAGAATTTTGTTTTACTTTGCTTTATGTGTTTTGCTTTTATGACACGGGTTCCTGCTATGTTGCCCAGGCTGGCCTTGAACTCATGTTCCTCCTGACTCAGGCTCCCAGGCTGCTGGGATTGCAGACCTGCACCATCCAAGGCAGCTCTTATGGGCCTATTTGGCGGCTGTACAGAGGTAGGTCACTGTTTTTATTTTATATATTTTGCTCCCCCACCTTATTAAAAAATTGGGTTGTGTGTTAGTCTTTGTGGACTAAAACACCCCAGGCTGGGTAGTTTAAACAAAAGCAATTAATTCTCACAGTTCTGTGGGCCAGAAATCTCAAGTAGAGGTGGAAGCTTTGGTGGGGGCTGCCTAAGTGGCCTGCAGATGGTCACCTTATTCCCATGTCCTTCTTCATACCTAGGGAGGGTGAGCTCATGTCTCTTCCTCCTCTTATAAAGGCAACAGATCTCTCAGACTAGTGCCCCACCATTATGACCTCATTTAACCTTAATTATCTTTCTAAAGGCCCAGTTTCTAAATTCAGCCCACTGAGGGGTTACATTGTCAATATGTGGGGGTAGGGGTGCAATTCTGCTCCTACCAGGTTGTTTTGTTTGCTATTTTTAAAATAATTGCTTTTTCCCTTTTTAATTCTGGCACAAGCCCTTTGCCCAGTACATTTTATGTGCTGCAGATACCTGTAAACTTTTCATTCTTCTAAAAATATTGCTTGATAATATACTGTAAGTTAATCATAATGCCCTTTTATGCTAAAGCTTTTTCATGTCTTGAGTTATTTTCTTAGCCAAGGTCCCTTTTTTATATTCTTGTGAAATTAGGGGAGCAGTCATAGTTCTGAAACTACCCATACTTCTAAACCCATTTTTAAGTTGCTGGAGGTGGGTGTCCCAACTACCCTGCAGGTCAGTAATGTGCCTGAAATTATTAATTACTTACAGTTGGTTTATTGCCCTGAAAGGACACAGATTAAAGTCAGCAATGAAAGAAGCACACAGGACAGTGTTATGTACTGACCTGGCACTTGTTCCCCCCTCTTCTCAAGAAGGCATGTTTAAGTTCTAACTCCTAGGACCTCAGAATGTGGCATTATTTGGAAATAAGATTGTTGCAGATGTCACTATGAGGTCACAGTGGAGTAGGATGGGCTGATGACTTACAAGAGGAACTACTGTCCTTGTTTTTTTTTTTTTTTTTTTTGGTTTTTCTCCGGTACCGGGAACTGAACTCACAACCTTACACTTGCCAGGCAGGCGCTTTTTGCCGCTGAGCTAAATCCCCAGCCCTGGAACTAGTGTCCTTGTAAGAGGATGGCCACGTGAAGACAAAGACCCGCAGAGACTCATGCCATGGGGTGACAAACATAGGGACCATAGTCATACAGCTGCAAACCAAGGAGTCCCACAGGTTGCCAGCAAACTGCTAGGAGCTAGAAATAGCAAGGAAGAATTCCCCTCCAGGGTTCAAGGAAGTCACAGTTCTGCTGATTCCTAGACTCAAATTTCTCACCTCCAGACAATAAATGTGTTGCTTTAAGCCACCGCCTCAGCTTTTGGCACTTTATTTTTGTTACAGTAGCCCTCGGAAACCAATATAGGCACACTGCAGGGAAGTTCCCAGTGTGAACTTCCGAGCTTCCTGTCCAAGTGGTACTAGGAGCACTGTCACTTCCCAACATTAATGCATGATGACACATAGTCAATCAAGGAAGATCACTGAAGCTTTAGTGGCTGGAGTTTTTGTGAGAGTTCTGTGGCTGGTTACTCACATGGCTGACCTTTAGTTTCCAGCCCTTCTAGAGGTCGAGCAGATACTGGTGGCCTAAAATTCCCATTATTATCTTATCATTGACTATCTGGGGCCAACAACTCCAGGTAAATAAAGGCAGTCTTACCAGGTAGGACATTCCAAGGGCCTAGAGATCACCTCCAAGAAGTTGATGGGAAATACCATACCTTTCTTTGGTTAAGATTAAATCCCTACTGTATACTTTTAGAAGCTACGCTTCACATTTCGATCTAGTGAGATTCTTTCATGTGTATTGTATGAGATTGTGGTCAATTTTTTTCATTTTTCCTTTCTTTTTTTCTCTTTAAAAAGGATATACAACTGTCTGAGTACTATTTATGTATGAGTGTCCTTTCTCCATTGATTTATCATGCCACTTTATTTAGGAACCAGAGGCCAACAGTTGTGTGCGCCTGTCCATTGGTCTGTTGTCTGCATTTGTGTGGGGCTATTCCATTGATCTGTTTGCATTTGTGGGTGTCTGTTCCATTGGTTGGTTTGTCTGTTTTTGCACCAATGCCAGAATGTTTATTGTCACTTTATCCATTTTAATTTTCCTTAGAATCTTGTATTTCTTCAAGAATTCCCAGGATATTCTTGGTCCTTTATATTTCTATATTGAATATGTACCCTCTTTTAATTCCTATAGTAAATCTTGTTAGGAATTTAATTATGACTGCATTGAATTTATGAATCATTTGGGAGCCACTGGTACCTTTAAAATATGGAGTACTTCAGCTGCACATATTTCCCTTTTGTTATTTAGGCTTTCTGTTTAATTTCTAATTGAAAATTCACACATATCAACTGAAAGTATTAGTAACTTTTGTCTAGTTTTTAATGGCAAAAAACATCACAAGATAATTGAAAAAATGAGAAAAAAATTGAAACTAACATGGATAGAAGCTAATATCACAAATATTTAGATACAGAATTTCTATGTACTACTGAGAAAACACAAAAAACTTAGAAAAATGGGCAAAAGAAAGGACTACACAAAAAGTGCAATTAAACATGATCTCAATCTTGCTCATAATAGGAGTAATACAGATTAAAACTACACTGGAACACAATTTCTGAAGCTTCAACTTGAGAACAAAATCCCAACTTGTACAAAAATTCTTTGTAGACTTTCTTTGCGACATGCTGTGTGGAATAGACTCTCCTACACTGCTGGTAGCACCCCCATGGAGAGGTGTTTAGCGATATCTAATAAGAGGACATAACCTATTTAGCTTGTAAGTCAGAATTCCTAGGATTTAAATCATTTAAATCATTTAAATGATTCTGTAGGAATAATTTAAAAGATACTAACAGGAAACTATACTGAATTGGCTGTGGTGGTACACACCAGTAATCCCAGGTATTAGGGAGACTGAGACAAAGTGAAGGGTATCAAAAATTTGAGGCCAGCCTGGGCAACTTATCAAGATACTGTCTCAAAATTTTTGAAAAAGGACTGGAAATGTAGCTCATTGTAAGGCCATGTATTTAATTCCCAATAGTGCAAAGGACAAGCAAACGCTCACTGAAATATGCATGAAGCTATTCACTGCATACAGTACTATTTATTGTTTCTCCAGTTCTTTTTATTTTTCACCCCCAGGTACCTCGATTGTATTTCTTTCAAGAGAATAAGATAATGTAGTGCCATGTGAAACACAAATGCTCTTAGCAGCAAATTTAGGCCTCAAGTAGTCACTTATATGGACTTCAGTTTGTGTAGTTGTGGACACACTGAGCTCAAACACTGAACATGAAATGCAAGTCCAAAATTGTAGAGATCCAAGGCTATATTCTACATTTCCAAGTAGCAAAATCACTATCAAGGTTGTTTAGTAAGTATCATGGACAGAGAAGCCTTAGGGTGGAGGGCAGGTGGAGGAGCCAGGGGAAGGATGTCAGCATTGACACTGGCACTGTACAGAGAAAGAGGCAGCTCACCAAACAGGTGAGTGGCAGAGTGCTACTTGGTGTTCAAAGAGAACCAAAGGTGACCAGTATCCATGCTTCTATGCTTGGCCCTCAGCAAGCTCTACCTTAGACATCATTATTTACTTTATTACAGATCTACCAAAGTGAACAAAATATTTTATACCCATTGTCTAGTATTAAGCCCTGGGAAGATAATTGGCTTCATACTGTCTGTGTGTGGGAGTACAGCAGAATACCTGAGACTAGATAATTTATAAACAACAGAAATTTATCTCTCAGTACTGGAGGTTGAGATGCCCAAGAGCATGGCACTGGCAGCTGGTGGGGACCTCATTTTGTCATCCCATGGCAGAGATAGCAGAGAAGGGCAAGAGAACAGAGGGGGCTGAACTCACTTTTCCAAATCTATTCTCTTGATAACAAATCTGCTACTGTGATAACACTGATCCATTTATGAAGGTAAAGCCTTCACGTTCTAACCACCCCTTAAGGGCCCTCCTCTCATGTTTTGCAAAGTCTCTAATGTGAACTTTGGGGGACACTTTCAAACCATGGTATTGCTCTTCACTGTCGCTGATCTGGTCATCCTCCTTCAAGAGGGAGGCCAAGTTGGGAGACCAAACACCAAAAGGATGGCTACTTAGTGACAGAAGTCAGAGCCTAGAAGGAGAACCTACTATCCAACAGTTAGGATGCAGGTGTAGAGCCAGGTGTGGTGGCACAAGCCTGTAATTCCAGCACTCAGGAGACTGAGGCAGGAGGATTGTTGTGAGTTCGAGGCCAAGCTGAGCTACACAGTGAGATCAAGGTCAGCCTGAACTGCATAGTGAGACCCTGTCTCAAAAAGACAAAAACAAACAAACAAACAAAAAAATGGATGCAGGGATACAGAAATTGCCCAGGTCTTGGAGGTTGAAAGATCTGTCACTTCCTGGACATTGACATTTGCATGCTCAATGTCCCAGGGATTTCACTTTCTTGGCTGCAACCTGAGATGTGGCAACAGTATCCTCACATCCCAGGGTAGAAGTGTATTGTCTGTGTTAAGTGACAATGGAGCACATGTGGTTCCTGGAACACAATAGTGATTTGCAGGAGCTAGTTCACAGTGGCCTGAAAGCCAACTGATAAGTCTGAAAGCATTTTGTGAACCCATTGAATTGCTAAGCTCAGCAAGTATTTAAAATTAAATTATATAAACTTCTAAATAACGTACATATTTTAAAAGTTAATAAATATCCAACATTTCTAATGTTTCACTATTATCATTGTTGCTCATATCTCAGGTCTTCATGGTGAGCTACAGTGTGTTCCTTCCCAATTCCACGTTAGTCACACTGGTAGTCTAAAATCTAGGATGATGGGAGTAATGGTGAAAAGAAATGGGCAGACACTACAAATCAGGGGGTTCTTGGTTTTATTTTAATCTATGTGGAGTGAGTATTAATTTATCTTTCTGAGAGCTGACTTTGGCCTGCAGATGCTGGGTGTCTGGTATTGGTATGTGTGTGAAATACAATGTGGCTGAAGCTATTCCTTCCAACTGCTGCTGCCAGGATGAACCCTTACTATGGTGCAAACACAAAAAGGAAACAGAAAGTGAGTGAGAAGTCTCTTTCCAGCACTGTCCTCGAAAGCCACCTATTGGAAGATAGTTGGTAGCAAACCCCCATCGATGAGGATAGAAGAAACTAAACCTTCTGCTGCTGCTCCCTTGACGTCTGTCATACCGTTGTAAATACAGTTTTCCATTCACTGTGTGCTCTTCTGTGCTCTATTGGTTTAATTTCTTTTTTTGGCATCCTAAGATGACACTGTTTGGTTTTAAGTAGTTAAAGAATAAAAGATGGTGAACAGTTCAGTCAGTCTACTGATATGAGCATTCTGTTGTGATAGCTTCTATAGTTTCCATAAAGGGGTATGGGAGAATAAGGTGGCTGCTGAAAGTGACATAAGGGGTTGGGAAGAGCTCTGAGCTTAGAGAAGAGAATGTACAAAGCAGTTGTCAGATGGCAGGCTGGTCCCATGAAGGCAGAGCCTGCTTATTTACCATGGGTCCTCAATACCTACACTGAAGCCAAGCACAAAGTGGGTGCTTAGTAATATAGTTGAAAGAATGAAGTAGAAATAGAATAAATCTTAGAAACTCAGTTAGACTGGTGGGCAAAGTAGAAAATCCAGGTGAAGTCTGTGCACACGAGTTTATATTGATCAGAAGTCCCAAATGTGGTGCTTATCTTCTCCTGTGTTCAACCCTCTGGGTGTAGGTGCAGGAAAGACAAGCTTGCCCACAGTCGAGGTACAGCTGTGCCTGTGGACTGGTAAAAATGTGCAAGAAACTGAGATCTGGGAACAGATTCTGGAATACTGAGGGAAAGAAGTTGATGTGAGACTGAACAAGATCTTTTAAAAGTCCTGTCTTTGTTCCATGAGTGTATTTCTTATCAGGCCTAATTTTATCTTCAGCTGTCACTAAAATTTTATTCCTTGTTTTATAGTCATTTTTTCCACACCCATACTAAACTTTTTTATTGTTTCTTGCAAGTGACCATGTAAGTAACCAAGAGTATAGGGCCCATGACTACCACTTTGAGCTGCAAATGTAGGAGAAATCCTGTGAACAGATACCAAATGATTCTCCAATTGAAATCTAGGCCTTGGCAGCACCAAAAATTCGTTGTGTGAAATACCCAGACTTGAAAGCAATTGTGATCAAGCATCCTAGAGCTGGAAACCTATTGCCTCCTTACGGAGCCCTGTAGTGTTAGGTTCCCCAGGACCCAAGATCCACCCCCAGTATGACAACAAGGGGAACCTGCTGTTTTGATTTATATCTAGATTTCTGCTTAAAGTCTCATGGTGCCCACAGGTGGGGCTTTTGGAAGAGGGTTCGGTCATGCTATAAGGAATTTGCTGTTAGGGGGTGGGACCTAGTAAGAGGGCGGGTCTCTGGGGGCGTGGCCTACGGTGCAGTTTACTCCCGGCTCTTCCCTTCCCTTTCTACTTCCTGACAGCCAGGACAAAAACAGGTTTTCTTGGAGCCAGCCAAACATGGTCTAAAATTGTGAACCAAAATAAACTTCTCCTCCTCTAAATTGTAGGTGTCGGGTATTTTGTGCCAGCAATGAAGAAAGTGAGACACCAGCCAACTTACTCTTCAAGAAGAAACCACATTTCTTCCCCCCAAAATGTTTACATTTTAAGTCCTACTTGTCCTTCATTTCTCCCTTTGAAAGCTTGCCTTGTGGCCCATCTTGCTGAGCACAGAGTTTTCCTGGGAGAAGTATAAAGGCAGCTGCATCCTCCAGGCTGTAGATTCAATATTTCCTTCAGAATTGCTGCTAAACTGTCTACTCAAAAGAGAGAACCTACTTTAGGGAGAGATTGCAACTGCCTGTGGAAACTTATCTTTCATGGTATAGAATCAATTTTACCTCTTCGTGCAGCTTCATCATTTACTGATTTATTAAATTCCTGTCCCCTGTCTGAGTTTCTGGTCAGTTTCTCTATATGTAGGCAGCCCTTCTCCAGCCCACAACTGTCTCAGCCTGTATCTGTACCAACCAACCAGAGCCCTTCCAGTTGCATGCAGGGCTCCTAGTCTTACTGCAGGGCGCATGCAGTGAATATTAATCTAAAAAAGTCGAACAAGAGAGAAGAAAAAAATAAAACTCAAAGTGAAAGTTGCAGGTAAAGGGAGCTTGACACAATAACCTATAGTCCTAGACTACAAATAAGACACGTAAGGCACTGTCGGGGTGTAGGGCTTGGAGAGAACGGAGAATGGAGACCCAAAGAGATACCTCTGGAAATAGGACGATGAATGAGGTTTGGTGCGTTCCCATATTTGTCCAGCAGAGGGAGGTATCTGGCTGATAGTAGACTGACCCTAGATTCCCAACAAAGCCCAAATTGGGAGTCTTTAATACCCACCTTGTCTACTATTGCTAGAGAGAGGAAGAGAGACAGAGATTAGCTTAGAGCCTCCTCGATTCACTCCTCAGTTTTGAAAACAAAGGGGGAGGGGAGACAGAGGGAGAATGTAGAGACTGTTTATATATACTAATTAGAATTATCATGCAAAATATATACAGATCTTTTAAAATCAATCGTTAAAAGAAAATAAAAAAAAAATATTGCCGAAAGGTAAACCAACATAATAGAGAGAAGAAAAAAAACTACAGAACCACCAATTATTTCCAAAAGAGTAGAAAATGCAAACTAAAGCAATGGAATATCATTTCACACTGACAGTGTACAGGGAGGAATGTGGAGAAAAAAGGGCCCAATTTTTTTAAAATTCTGCATTCATGGATAAGAACTTTTGGAAATATAGTAAACCCTGATTAACAAAATCAATGGAGCAGTAGGTTTAGGCTTTGGATCAATAACACTTAATTTTTGCCATGGTTTTAGTATTTACCTGTGTTATCTGAGTCAACACCATAAAAGTTTTGACCTATAGTTCAACAAACTTTCTTGCATTGCTTGAAATTTTTGAAAAATTCGCAGGAAAACTATGAACACATCTGATACCATGCTGTGGCCCTTATCTGTGCCAATACTCCTGTCTCTCTCTCTCTTTCTCTCTCTCTCTCTCCCCACCTCTTGTTGTTGTTTTTTTGTTTGTTTGTTTGTTTGTTTTTTTCCTTTTTTTTGTGCTGGGAATTGAAGCCAGGACCTTCTACACGATAGGCAAAAATTCTGCCACTCACTGACATTCTGACCAACTGTTTGCAGGTGAATGTAGTTAATTTTCATTAAAACTCAATAAAGTGGGAACTGTTAATCTATGTATTCTGCAGACAGAAAAACTAAATGATGGGAGCTTCTTGGAATGGCATGGCCAGCACTTGGGGCAGAAGGAACTAGAGGTTTCTTATAGAGGGCCAGGCAGCAGAACAAACTCAGCATAGAGCATGCTAAACAGGGAGATTTGGGCAGCTCTGCTGAAAATAACCACACAACCTCTCCTCCCAGTGCCCAGGTGGCTGGTCACTGTGCTGACTTCTTTCATCATAGCATTAAGGGAGTCCTGACTCTCATACCTTGTTAATACATTAACATCATCTTCACATCCCATGAAGCTCAGCTCACACAGTCTGAATCTCCAAGGAAAAGATCTCATGAGCTTCCAGTTTCATAGCTCACGTCCTGGAAGAAGCAGAGGCAGAGACTCCTCAGTGCTCCTCTCCATTCAGCTCTGCACAACCATATCCTCCCATCCTGCATTCACATGGGACTCACCTGTTCAAGGTGTCTTTCACATCCTACACAGAAAACAAAAGTCAAACATGTTAGCATCAGGATTCCATGGGCTGTGGCATAGGAGACTCTGTAAACACACCACCCAAAGAAGGAAAGAGGGACCCAGCCTGAGACACCGCTGCAGAGTCAACAGCAATGATTCCACCCAGCCTCTGCCCACTCAGCAGGGGACTGTGATCTCCTGGGGGAAGCCTGTGAGGAAGAGCAGTGGCCACAGTGTCATCAGCCTGTGGCTCCTGGAGATGTGGGCAGGAGATTTGCTCAACTTCTCTCTGGCAAGACTGGCTTTCAGGGACCTGATGTCCTGTAGAGTGAGCCCATGTTGGAGATCATTTGTCACCACCATCTTCCATGGTGACTGCATACACAGCTCCTGAGACTGCACCATCTACATGGTAGCAGCAGGTATCACAGGGTGGTGGTTACACTTTTAATTAGAATGTGACCACCATTCCTGCTGGTTGGAGCCAGAATCAATAGCTCAGCTTTTATCTTAGCAAGATGCATCAATCATGTGGCTGTGAGAAGATCCCACAAGAGCTCTGGAGATTCCACAAGTAAATCAAAGAAAATGTTACCCCTTCTTTCAGCTGTTACAATCTGTCAATTGGAAGAGTATTTCATGAGAAAGTCTGATCATCAGGGAACTTTGGGCATGAAACAAAGGCGGAAGTGAGGGCAGAGGCTGTCCCATGGGTGCATTTGGCCACTTTTTGTTTACCTCAAGGAAATGTGTCTAATTCAAATAAAAGGACCATCTAGAGTAGTTACTGATGTATAACCTAAGAAAGACATTACTAAAACTCCCTACGCAATTGCCCACACTGGAGTAGAAGCACATCTTGCCAATTTCCCCATTTTCCTGACCATTCTCCTTCTTTCCTTCTCCAAGTCCACAGACTCACCTTCAGAAGGTTTGGGGCTGAGCTTTGACACTTTACAACCAATTCAAAGATATGGTCCTCACATTCATTGTTCTCTTGCTGCAGGTTGGCCTCACTCTCCCTCAGTCACCTCAACATCTGTGCTCTTCTTTCTCCAACTTCCAGAGACAGGACTTCTCCTCATGCAAAAAAACTGTGGAGATTCTTCAAGTCAGACATGATTTTTTTGTCTCTGATTTACTTTGTTTTCTTAGAGTGAAGAAAGTAAGGTCAAAATTGTAAACAAACATTTTGGGTAAATAGATATATGAAATGTGGTATGTAGATGCAATGGAATACTTATATTACTCAACCTTAAAAAAAGATAAAATCTATCTCATACTACAAGGATGAACCTTGAAGACATTCTGTTAAATGAAATAAGCTATAAGCAAGAGAATGAGCATTAGAGACTTCATTTATATCACATACCTGCGATAATTAAATTCATAGGGACAGAAAGCAGTATAGTACTTACTAGGTGATGGCAGAAATGGAGAATAAGGAACTAGTTTTTAATGGGGAAGGTTCTTTATCTTTGGAAGACGAAAGAAATTTAGTGATGGATATCGTGATAGTTTCACAACAAGAAAATACTTAACACTTCTAAACTGCATACCTAAAATAGTAAAAATGTTAAGTATATATTTTGCATATTTTCCTAAACATAAAAAGGAAAGTGTGACCTGTCACTGTGATATAATTTTTCCATGAGTCCCTCAGTCCTAAGGTTTCTGTTGACCCAAGTGGGAGAGATTGACTGTGATTTCTCTGTAGTCACCTGAATAATTTCCTTTTCCAAAGCCAGTCCACGAAGTAGGTGGAGCAAGAGTGCCAGATCCTTTAGTCATGCAAATAGAAATAAGTTCAAGTACTTTATCAGTTACAAGTGTACATACTTTCCATAGGGTATTATAAAGTATCTCTGAAGTTAAGAGAAGACCTTAGAGCAAAAGCTGGTAAATAGCTTCACCAAGAGTGAATTTTAAGACAACCTGTCTTGCAAGAGAGTCCTTGATTCTGGGTGTGTGTGTGTGTGTGTGTGTGTGTGTGTGTGTGTATGTATGTGTTTCCAGGTGAAGCAGCCTTTTTCTTTTGGTTAACTGAGAAATACTCATTCATACATTCAGAGTTACCTTAATTATCATTATTTATAGGATGACTAAACCAAAAGAGGAACTTTGTGGACTTAGCTTTTATTTGAGGAGGTTTAGTGTTGAAAGTTCCAGAAGTATTTTTGAAATTCTTACAATGTCTCAGTGACTATGACCTTATAATAGAAGGGATATTCATTTAGAATGAAGAGAAAGTTTTTATGAAAGAGAGAATGCAGCTTCAGTTCTTGTGTTCAAGGGCTTTGTATTTCTTATACTCAGAGTCATCCACAGTGCCTAAGTGATGGTAGTAAGGTCATTTTCTGGAAGCTGGAGTTCAACCTCCACACAAAAAGAAGGCAGAAGATAGACGAAGGATCCTGAAAGAAGCAGAACAGCTCCCTGTCCTGTGAACTTGGACTGTCAACTAATAGTTCCCAAAGATATTTTTATACAAAGAAATGTATGTCTGATAATTGGAAGCCTGGGGAGCCATGGAAATGCTCTAAAAATTTAACCCTGCAGGTACAAGTGTGCAGGTTCTAGCAGCAGCTAGGATACTCCTTATAGCTCCAGTTGGTCTCATGAGTCCTGACCTGGAGGGAGGTTGTTTTCTGACTGCTCTCAGAGGTGGGCTCAGAACCTGAGGGTTTGAGAGCCAGACCCTGCACCACGGTAGATGGGACAACATCATAAGGTTGAAGACTGCATACCTAGATGATAGTTGTAAAATGTGAAAGCCAGTCAAAGATATTTTAGGCAGATAATTACACCAGTTCTCCTATTCTGACTGACTTATTAACCAGATAATTACTGTTAAAAGATGGAAGAGCTTGCTGATAAAATCTCATGGCTAGAAAAAGAAGGATGTAACACAGAGGTTTCTTCTTTGTGCTTCATCTCTTCTGGTATGGTGCGGTGAAAATAAACTGTCATTGTGCTTTGCCCCAATCAGTCCTTGCACTCAAACTCTAGCACAGAAAACAGCTTGCGATCAATGAATTCAGACGCTTACCTGCCAGTGAAGTGTTTACATTGCCACAAACACTTTCTGATTTATACATTCTTCTTGGAGTTGAATCAGTTTTGTTACAACTATCTCCACCTTTTTCTGAAGGAAAAAAGTGGGTAAAGTCTATGCAGTTTGATGCTTTACCAGACACATACTGGGAATGCTAGCACTCCAACATGTGTCAAAATAACAGTGAATTTTTGTTCCTGTACTTTGGCAGGGAGTGTGTAGAGGGTAATGTGTGGATTGATATCCCTTTTATTTTAAGAATACCTGGATGAATTTTGCAATGTCACTGGCCCATCATTCCTCAAATGAAACTGCCCTAGGGAGAAGTGACACTGTGTTCCAGAATGGGGACTGGAAGTTGACCCTCAAGGTCCTGGAACCCAGTGCACTCTCTCCTATCCCTACCTGCCTGCCTTTACATACTCTATGGCCTGGTCATGATGAGACTAGAACCATAGTTACACCTTTGCACATGAAGGTGAAATTTATGCATCTTGGCTGGGGTATACTGCTCACCCTCCAGCTCCTTTCAGAAACCACCTAAACCAGCTATTGTTGGAATTTAGCATCTCATTTCTCAGACCTAGGACTTAGAAGACTGTATGTGGGTTATCCTTCCATAGTTTTGAAACTAAGAGTTATATTTTTTCTTCATTGTGAACATATCCTCATATTACTTTTGGAAAGAAAAAGCAAAAGGTTTGCATCAGAACTAGAATTTCTCAAAAGGTAAATTTTGAGAGTGTGGGGTTGGAGTGGAGAAACAAAACCGGCCTTTATTTTTTCACAGTAAATTTTACTTAGAGCAGTCACTTTGCTGGTCTGTGTCTCTACTGGGCTCTAGGGTCCCTGCAGGAAGTGTACCCTCCTCCCTTCCATTTCCAGATCCTTCTTCAGAGTCCTGAACATTGTGGTTTCTGACAGTACACACAGGGTGAAGAAGAGCACATGCAGGTGTATGGCTGAATGTTCCCAGAGCAGGAAGGGGTCCCCAGTAGCACAGAATATAGGGATGGGAGTCTGAGCACACTTAGGATTGAATTCATCAAAGATCCATCACAAGCCATTTTTGGGGATGAATACCATGGTATAGGCTGTGTTTCAGGGTTATAATCTTAGGCTTCAGAATCAGTCCTCTCAGGCCTTGTAAGTGTATCCCTGCCTAAGCCCTGGCACAAGTCCTCCACCTTGGTGCTATTGTGCCTGCTCATAGCACTAGCAGATCAGCTGTCAGTTATCTTCTCAGAAGAGCTGGAGTTCCTCTCTGTAGCCTTGCACACCAGCTCATTTGCTCTCTTACCATCTCTTTGAAGAGTTCAAGAAGGCTTCCCCACTGCTTGTTGATCCAGAGGCCTTCTATTTGAAATGGTACCTGATACAGAGTACAGAAGTGTACCATTTGCCCCTGATTGTGCTGTGCCCCGCAGAGGCAGTGCTCTGTGCACAACTGGCAGTGACAGTACCCACATTCAGTGTTCACTGGGATCATCATCAGATTCGGGCAGATGGAGCAGGTGGTGATCTCTTTCATTTTGTTGGTGCCAGTGGCTGAGGTCATGACTTTTCCTGAAAAGTTTCAATGTTAGATCTAGAGGTGGAGATGAAGCAGCCAGAATTTCCAGAGGAACAATACAGCTTTCAAGGAGCTGACTGAAAGCTCCTTGTGTACAAGGAGCTGATTGCTACTGCCCTCCACAGGCCATGCAGACTTCTTTCTAAAAGGATGAAATGGTTAGAGTTTAGAACACATACAAA